TTGTATTGTATGAATTGTAGACGTGTGTTGTTAGTATTCAATAAACTATATATTATTATTATGGGGGAAAAATTCTCCAGGGCTCATTTTCTTGACAGACTAATCCTCATTGTATCTATTAGCTCCATTAGTACTAAGAAGCATGGCCACAAAACAGTGGGTTAAAAATTCACAAGGACAGAGACAGGTGAAAAAGTTCATTGTATTCACCAAATTTTACTGCAGACGTAATAAATGTAACCTAGAGATTTGCTAGAGATCTGAAGAAGACCACAACCAATCTAAAAAGATCGCAGTTCTTTGAATGGACAAGGAATAAATAGACAATGAATAGTCCCAGTAGCTGATGTCACTTTCATTTGACTACACACTATGATATTATATACTATCGGAGGAATTAATATCTGATGATATATGTATACGGTAATACAATAAAGAAAAAGAGAAAAAAATAGAAAACATTGTCGTTGTCATAAAGTGATCCACATTCTAAACGATTAAATTTAAAAACCCTAATAAGCAAATTGTGTCTATTTATTAAACAATTCCCAGTAATGCAATTATAATGTAAACGAATACAGCCTTTGTTCCTACAGAAGTTTAACACAGTACAACAATAATTGTACGCGCGTACGTGTGGACGTAATGCTAACGATTAAACAACAGTGATTTCCTTATTACCTTTAGTTCCTGAGCTGACAATAAACGAAGATGAATCAGATTGCGAGGTCATACTGCCTTTTCCTATAAATGCATCAACATTTTCGAATACGTTACTAAATATTAAAGTAATTAAATAGTTTAATAATTAGAAGCATGAATGTTTAGGAAATTGTCGAAAAACTATATATTTTAGTTTGCACGGCCATTAAAACTTTTTTTTGTCACTATGCATATTTAGTTACTATTGATTTTTATGTTCTAAATTATTTTAAGTAATTAAAAATATACCTATTATCATCATCATAATCATTAGATGCAAATTTATTCTAGTGTTGATGATACATTCCTTGAATAATTTTCTTTTATTTATATTTTTCAATTAGGTTCTTATAAATAATCAATTAGGGGTGGCTTCTTGGTCTTTTCACGCCCCTTGAGCAGGGTTGTTTATGAAAAAATTTCGATTGTGCATCAGGCAACCTCAAGATTGTGCATGTTCAGTTGACAATATGCATCTGTGGTAATTTAACTTGTCGTATCCGAACAAAACCCGGGAGATTGATGGTTACATGGAAAGTTGTATGATTTTGGTATTACAACGCCATTATAGCAAAATAAAAAATTAATTCACCACAATACACCAATACATTTTTCTATTGCGTTGGACGCGCGTTTTGCTAACCATCATCGGCAGATGATTAAAACTCAGTTGATGCTAACATGGCTAGCGAAACGTGCGTCCAGCCCTCAACTGTAAACGCCGCTATAGAAAAAGCATGACGCCACCTGAAGGATGAAAGCCAAACGAATAAAGAGATTTTATAATTTTTGGTATTTTTAAAAATTATTCAGATTGTGCCTATATTTCCATTGTGGTGCATATTGCGCATATTGAATGTAAAGTGTGCATAATATGCGGGATTGTGCATCTAGGAACAACCATGGTCTTGAGTAGTACTGTATAATTTTGATGGTCCATCTTTAGTAAGTCCTTTTCACAAGTTCATCTATACCTAAACCAGTTTAAGGGATTTCATTTTGTAAGTCACATCTATTACCTCAGTATTCTATAGTATCACGCCTATGGGTTTGATCGTCTATTTTTTTTATCATACGGTTTAATTGTTTTCATAAGTGTCTTTGCAGAACTAACTTTTTGGTGTGTTTTTTTTAAGTTTCTATGAACAAATTTATAAGGATCTTTTTATTTTAACAATTTTTAGGAACCTTCTAAAATTTTCACTGCTGTGCAATGAAGTGATATTTTGATGCAAACAATTTCAAATCTTTTTAATGAGAAACCAGCAATATCTATCTTATCGTTCTCGTAGTTTATAACTATTTCATTGTTGGGTCGCTTTTTCTTTTATTAATGAACGTTTTGTAATAAAAATGAACGTGAAGGTCGAATATGAATGACAATTGCTTTTGTATTTAATTAATTGTGCAAAAGTATAGATACATATTTTGAACTTTGATTAATAATTATTCTATTGACTTTATATATATTTTATTGTTTCCGAGCAAATACAATTCACTTTTTGGTTAGGTTTAATATAAAAGTAGAAATTGATTTCTACGATATTTATATGCAAATAAATGGTTAGTGACTGTTGTCTGTTATTTGTTTTTAGTTTTAAAAGTAGAGTTTTTCCTGTCATTTAGGAAATAAAATGAACGTCAGTCAATAATGAAATACTTTTGTAAAAATGCTAGTATTTTTTCATCGTTTTAAATTGCTATACATCTATTTATTTTATTAGTAGCTTTTGTATAATTATACAGGGTGGTCCGAACTGTATTCCCGAAACTTCGGGAGCATATTCTGCAGATAAAAGGAAGTAAAAAACTTCTTATAAACATATGTCCTAAAATGCTTAGTTTCGGAGATACAGGGTGTAGACGTTTCATTTTTATTTCGATTTTTTCCACATAATTTCTGAAGTAAAGTAAATATTTGGATGAAAATTGGTGTCTAATAGTTTTTTGACATGAGAAATTTGATTTTGATGTCATTATGACTCCTATTTGTAGAGGGCGCCACCTACATGTGATTTAACTGTTTTGAAGTGTAATAACTTTTTGTCCGTACCTGTATAGAACTGCTGAGTTAAAAAATATACATTTTCGTATTTTTTTACGTAAAAAATGCCTCTTGGTAAAAATCGTTACGAGCAACCCTTCTCGAGATATTTAGAATGGGAATAGTCAATACATGTCATTATTGACAAAAAATAAACACGTCGAGTAGATAGTTGTTGGACTAAAAAGATAAATTTGGAAAGTTTTTATTTTTTTAAATTAATCATAAAATTTTCTTCGAAAAAATGATGATTGGTGATGATTTGACACAAAAACATTTCAAATTTATGATTTCCGTCTACTAACTATTTAGTCAACATGTTTAATTTATGTCAATGATGACAGGTATTGATAATTTCGATTTCAAATATCTCGAGAACTATTACTCGTAGTGATTTTTATTAAGAGATTTTTTTTACGTTAAAAACGTCATAAATGTATATTTTTTTACTTAGTAGTTTTATAAAGGTACGGACGAAAAGTTTTTACCCTTCAAACCAATTAAAAATACGTAGGTGTCGCCCTCTACAAGTAGGAGCCATATTGACATTAAAATCGAATTTCTCATATCAAAAACTCTCAGATACCAAATTTCATCCAAATATTGATGTTACTTCAGAAATTATTTGGAAAAAATCGAAATAAAAATGAAATTTCTACACCCTGTATCTCCGAAACTAAGCATTTTAGGACATACATTTATAAGAGCTTTTTTACTTATTTTTTATCTGGAGAATATGCTGCTGAAGTTTCCGGAATACAGTTCGGACCACCCTGTATACACTAAAAAGTACAGCTTTATTAATTAAAGTTAAGAATTTGTAATACAATGCAAATTCAGGATTATTTGCTTTAATTGTCTTTGCTCTTTGTTATATGTTGTTATGAAGCAATTATTATCTAAGTAAATGTAGTTAGACAAAAAGGGTGCAACAGTTGGTTTATTTAACATATACTTTCTTAGAAAATCGGGGATTCCGTTTGCACAACAATATTTTATGACGTATTGCAATATTTACACTTATTACTAATTTCAAATTCTCATATTATTATAGAATTTTAATATTTACTTGTCGTAATAATATTATTAATGTATATACCCTATGTCTTAATTGTTCAATCAAAACGTATATAGTAAAACATTGGGTGTAGACAAAAAACGGACGTTTTACTTACAATGAATTAAGACGGAAGACTCTGTCTTGAAAACTGTGTGTATGTGACGGGACCATTCAGTTTTACAACGAAACTGTCGTTTTCATTGCACAAAAAATATATGTGAATTTACAAGAAACAATAGGGATGTATTAAGCTTCTTTAATATGCGACTTTTAAAAATCTACTAGTTTTCCGAAATAATGTAATTTTGTAAAATCGTTTAAAGATATTTAATGATTGTTACCCAACAAATAATATATTCACATTTAGCTTTGTTTATTTACAAATGAAGTTTATGCCATAAATACAGTTTTGTAGTAAAATTCAATACTTCTTTTGAACTTCACTAAACACAATGTTATACTTGATAAAAGCAGTACTTCTTCCATGGTCCTTACAAAAAAAATGATCTAAAACGCTGAACAGATAAAATCTTCTGTTTAGACTTTAGACCATAGATAAAAGAAAATAACCATCCATCTATTAAGATAGATTAGAAACTTAATAGTAAGATTTTGAGTCAAAACGTCCCTCCGTGTCCTTAGTCAAGGCTACGTTTGACCCAGCGTGCAGCGCCTTTACCTTTTTTGCTCTAAATATTATATTTAGTTGAATTCAAACGATTTATTTTTAAAGTTGCTCTGTTATATTAGTATATATGAAAATATTCAGGAAAGTGTAATAAAGCAAATTAAAAACTTTACATGTTGATGTTGAAGGCGTTTGTATATCTATAGATTTCAATTCCGTTTTCAATTCAAAAACAAACCAGTATTTTTTTACTATTTCTCATTGATAAGTTGACAATTATGTCAAATATATTAAAATGACATTATATGTATTTTTTAGGCAACCAAATAAACTAATAACCTCTAAAAATGATTTTTCCTACCACTAGCGACATTCCGTGTTCTTAGTTAATAGTAAATTATTTTGTTAAAATTTTACCATAAAGTTTCCAGGCAATGGTCTAGACAAGGACAATTATGAACAAAACAAATCTCAGAAGAAAAGTTTTAATATCAGTCTCTCATAATATTAGCTATTATTAGTTAACTGTAAAATAAAATAATATTGAAATATTTGATTTGTTTCAGATACACTGTTAAAGTTACAGTGACAGAAAATCAGCCTTATCAAGTGAGAGAATTCGTCTGGTGCCTCAACTTCCCACCAAGATGTTCCAAATACAAGATCAAGTTCAAGCAGGTTCACAAGGAACAGAACATAGTGAAAACTCGCCCTGTCGAAGACTGCTGCCAGGGCTACACTAGGAACACTGCGGGGAACAGATGCATACCCGTCTGCTCCACCAACTGTCTGCACGGCACTTGCATAGCTCCGGACACGTGCCAATGTGAAACTGGATATGGCGGACCCAGTTGTGATATTTGTAAGTGATACTTTTGTATTACAACGCAAAGTCGTCTTATATGGGTGCGTCTCAATAGTGGCTCACCCCTATAACTTTATTTTTTCAGATAAAAAAACGAGATTTGGTATGTTAGTATATGACAAAAATTAGGATTGGTTGACGTATTCAATTGTTTTTGGTCACTTCCTGTTTCACCGGAAATGACTACAACTTTTGATTTTTAAATGGCACCCTCGGTATTTTTACTGTACTTTATTCAATAGAAAATGACACTCTGAATAGAATGACATATCATATGTCAACTTTTGACATTTTCACTTAATAAAAAATTGTATTTTAAATTTCAATCTAGAGTGCCATGACTATGTTAAAAACACTAATTCTTAATCAAGGAGCCTTGGAAAAATAGATTTAATCGTCTAATGTTTTTAGTGTCTTGTTCTGGCCGGTTATAAAATGGACAAATCATATCAATTTTTTCAATTTTTTCAAATGGAACGGGGGTGGCTCATTAGATGCTAAAATGTCAAAAGTTGACATATGGTATATCATTCTATTCAAAGTGTTATTTTCTATCGAATAAACTAAAAAAATACCGAGGGTGCCATTTAAAAATCAAAAGTTTTAGTCATTTCCGGTGAAACAGGAAATGTCCGAAAACAATTGAATACTTCAATCAATCCTAATTTATGTTACATACTAACATACCAAATCTCGTTTTTTTTAACTGAAAAAATTAAAAAGTTATATGGGTGAGCCACTTTTGAGACGCACCCGGTATATCGAGTGTTTTTACTTTTTTTTTTGATTGAGTGGATTATAATGTTCTAATAAAAAAGTAAATGCCTATAATGTTTAACTGTTATGGTTAAAGTTTTAAAGATTTTCCCTTACATCTCAAGTGCTGTACGGTGGAGCCCCAACGCGTTCTGCGGCCAATGCATAAAACACTCATTTTCTTTAATTCGGCCAGCGAAGGCATATCGAAGACGGTGTGAAACTGAAAGCGAACAGGGAACAGGGAAAACAGGGTTGCCAAATTAAAATGTGTAATATCTGTAATACGTGTTTATGTATTTATTGGTGTTAAACATAGAATAAACAACAAAAATCAATATTCTAAATATGACAAAATATTTCTATCCTTCAGAATTTTTTTTTGAGTAAAAGTATAGACGAAACATAAAGCAATGTATCTTGATTAAAATTAGGTTTGATCATATTTCTTATATTATCTATTCTTATATTATTGTTACGGATTCCGTGGGTCCACTATTTAAACTCACGATAAAAAACTTAACGAATTTATTTGTTTCACTCTGTACACACAACTTATACTATTTACAACACAACTTATGCAACTACTATTACTCTAACGGTATTTCGCGGTATTTTCAAACTTTAGACTTCAAACTTTAAACTTGTCCAACTGTCAAAGCGCGAGCCTTATATACTCTGGCGGTTGTTTCTAGATTTTTCTAAAGAATTCTATAATTTTCTTTTTACTTTCTGGCGAATGCGCCAGGTTCCTCAATGCACATTGCGATTTTAGCAGTATGCAGTTATGCAACCAGTAATACACCTTGACATTGCCCCTTTCAAATTTGATCGTCCCGATCAAGGTTTCCTGTCTGGTATCTCTTCAATCGATCCAGATGAACTACTTTCATCTTACTTCTAGGCTGCGTTGAATCCGGTACACAACATCATTTATCCTCTTGATGACTGTATAAGGACCTTCCCATGCTGGAGTTAACTTTGGGGACCTTCCTTTCTTTGCGCTGTGGGTTATACAACCATACCCTATCGTCATGTTGAAATCCCGTAGAATTAGCTCTGAGGTCGTAACGAGCTTTCATCCGGTCACTGGCTAGCGCAATCTTACTTCTAACGGCCTTATGAATGTCCAATAATCTTTCCTTCCTAGCGATTCTTTCGAACGACAGTCCAACGCTATCCTGTTCCATTTCTTCCCCAGATCGAGTATTTGGTCCTTGTCTAGCTGCGCAAATCTTACAACGTTGACACCATTTCTTGACATCTTCACAATAATCCACCCAGTAAAAACGGTCTCTCAGCTTGCTCAGGGTCTTGTTTACCCCAAGATGGGCTCCAGTTTTACCACCATGAATTTCTTCCAATACCTGGGTAACTTTCTTCCTTGGTACCAGTAACTGAGTTGTTACTGTCCTGCCATCCGCACTTTCCCCACGTGCGCTTTAACAATCCATTCTCAATCACCAGTGAATTCCACTGAGCCCAGCGAGCTTTGAAAACGAGCCCTCTGTCCGCAATATCCTGCCACGGTGGTCTCTCGCCGTTACCTTCCTTGAGCCGTAGTATTGCTCCGATGTCTGGATCTTCCATTTGATCTTTCCTCAATTGTATCGTCGTCCATTGTTCATCAGTTCTCAGTTTAAAATTCTTTACTCTGATAGTGCTTTCGCGATGTTGCATTTTCTTGCCCAAGGTAGCTCGTCGTCGATCCAGTTCGTTGTCGATAATTTGTACCCGTCCTACACGGCACCCAACGGTTTTCTCTAGTTTCCCGAACACAGTCTTCTTGGTATCACCAGGTATCATCACAATTTTCGATGATCTTTCTTCCATATTTCCTGGTCTCTTCTCTTTAGATACAGAAAATTCCTCATTTCCGATTTTCAGGATGTTTCTATGGTGATCAAACGAAAAACCATGTTGACTGATCACATCCATACCCATGATAAAATCATCTTCAATGTCTGCCACTAAAACGCTATGCCGAAACTTCAAATTCCCTAACTCCAATTCCATGAAAGCCTCTCCCCGTACAACGGCCATTCCCCCCGAAATACACTCTTCTTCTAAGAGGCATCATCTTCAATCCTTGCACTGAGTTAGTCCGCACCAACGATACCATAGCGCCTGTGTCCACAGTCATTCGAATTCTTCTACCATTGACCTTCCAGTTGATCACCAAACCGTCAGCGGTTTTTCCTAGACTCCTAACGGAAAACATCCTAGGGGCTCCGTTTTCTTCAGCCAATACTCGCTCATTAGTGTTGATTTCCTGGTGCCTATGTTCTCTCGATGGTAAACGGAATCGCATTTGGACGCGGCAATCCCGTTTGATGTGGCCATTCCTGCCACATCTATAGCAACTTATGTCCTGGGATCTTCCGATGTGCCGATGTTCTCTGGATGGTGAATGGAATCGCATTTGGATGCGACAATCCCGTTTGATGTGGCCACTCCTGCCACATCTATAGCACCTTATGTCTTGTGATCTTCTATGGTTCTCTGTCTGGGTGTTGTTGACTCCCTTGTTTATTAGTAGCTCACATAGTTTGTCGAATTTTCTACACATCTCCAAACTTCTGTGGGTACTCTCGGGCTGTTCCTCGACCGTTACCGATCTTATCTCCGGTCTAGGGATGGCGCCAAAAGCAGCTTCAATTTCTAGCGCCCTGACCAGTGCTTCGCTGCTGGTAGAAAATCGGGATATTTGCAGCGCCCTCTGCAATTCGTTGTCCCTCAGTCCGCTGATAAAGCACTGAGCAGCCAGTTCTTCCCTACATCCTTCCGGTGCTTCTGGATACGCTAGGTGTACCAGGCGACGTAAGTCTGCTTCAAATTCCTGCAGACTCTCTCCGGACCTCTGCATGCGTGTCTTGATCTGGGCCTGGTAAAGTTGACGTCGATGTTGGTCGCCATATCTTCTGTCCAATGCAGCGACCAAAGTTTGATATTCCTGCTGTTGGGTTGCAGGAATAGTTTGCAAGAGTTCCAGGGCAGGGCCACGCAGCGCGATGACAAGTGCCGCTGCTTCCTCCTGGTCAGTCCATCCATTCGCAGCAGCCGCTGCTTCAAACTGGCGGTGGTACATCGTCCAGGTGGTTTGTCCATCGTAGGTCGGGGCCTTGAGGTTCGCAGTTCCATGAACGCCAGGTGTCTTTACTTGTACCTTGGTCTTCTGTAGGTCCATCTCTAATTTTTCCGTTTTCTGCTGAAGGCGTTCCTCAAGATCTTCTACGGCTTCCTGAAGGTGGATGTCTTGCCTTTTTTCCAGTTCTTCAAAGTTCTTCTTAAATCGGTTTTGATCTTCTAATTTTTCTTTCTGGCGACGCACTTCTAAATCTTCAACAATTTTCTCCAACCGTTCTTGTCTAATTTCTTGATTTTCAAGAATTTTCTGAAGCCGGTCCTGTTCTTCTTGTTTGTCGTGCTCTCGTTGAACTTTGAAATCTTCGAGAATTTTCTCAAGCCGGTCCTGTTCTTCTTGTTTGTCTTGTTGTCGTTGAATTTTCAAATCTTCGAAAATTTTGTCTTGCCGGTCCTGTTCTTCTTGTTTTTCTTGTTGTCGTTGTAATTTTTCCTCTTCCTTATCTTTACGTAGTCTTTCTTGTTCTTCTTGTTTTTCTTGTTGTCGTTGAATTTTCAAATCTTCAAAAATTTTGTCAAGCCGGTCCTGTTCTTCTTGACGGCGTAATTTTTCTACTTCTTTTTCTTCTGCTTTCTCTCTTCTCATATTCTCCATAAAATCGCCCAATAATTTGCTTACTTCTTCCATTTTCTTCGCCTGCTCCCTTGTACCAACCATAAAAATACTCTAATTCGGTCTAAAAATCTTCCAATCCACTTAATTTCTTCTTAAAACCCTCTTGAATCGCACTTCCGACACCAATTGTTACGGATTCCGTGGGTCCACTATTTAAACTCACGATAAAATACCTAACGAATTTATTTGTTTCACTCTATACACACAACTTATACTATTTACAACACAACTTATGCAACTACTATTACTCTAACGGTATTTCGCGGTATTTTCAAACTTTAGACTTCAAACTTTAAACTTGTCCAACTGTCAAAGCGCGAGCCTTATATACCCCCTGGCGGTTGTTTCTAGATTTTACTAAAGAATTCTATAATTTTCTTTACTTTCTGGCGAATGCGCCAGGTTCCTCAATGCACATTGCGATTTTAGCAGTATGCAGTTATGCAACCAGTAATACACCTTGACATTATTATAATTATATAGCTCGCTATGGACTATGGGCCCGTCATACGATGGCAAGGCTTAGATTTTATTAACGTACTGTATCCAAAATCCGTAAATCTCCGCATTAATCCCTAGTTCTAGCATCACTGTCTCCGGCAATCACTCACTCTGTCAACTGAAAACAGAACTATGGTACATTATTCTTTATCCGCTGCGCTCTAAACGATTCAGCGCGCAGCGGCGCAGAGCTAAACTAAATCTCGGACATGCTGATGGTAATGGCCCATTACTAATGGGACGTTTCGGACATATTTTGTGCAACGAAATTGCCCATAAGATTGTGCATCTTCTTATTTCTTCAGTCAACGCTATTACTATTGGTTGGTTTGTATACTATCCAGTTCAGATTTGCCAACATTCATGGGAGATTGGCCATAAAGTGGATTTTGACAATGCAAAAATTATAAAGTAATAACCGATAACCCCTAAACGAGAAATAAAATATTTACATTATTATCTGTAGCTAAACATTTGTTTTAGTCATTCAACAGATTCATTTAATTTATATAGTTCGCTGAATAAGTTTGTTGAATTAATCATCCAATAGAAGATAGGTGTGACTTTTAAGAAAAAAAATAATTGTGTTTAGTCGATAATTAAATTAAAGATTAATGGATTAGTAAGATGATTGAATCACGTTAAGTTTGAGTGTATAAAATGTACGTTTTGAGATTAAATATAAACAAAATATATTTAAGAAAAAATATGTTTATTTCATACATAAAAGAAAACAACCATGGTTCACTTACATGGTACAGGTTACACATATAGATGTTACGGCTAAAATGAATACTTGGCTAGTTTTCAAACTAGCCAGCTATTTTGCAAACAAACAGCACAACCACCACCACAAACTAACACCTAACCAACAAAATAACAGCGCTTTTTGCAAAATAGCTGGCTAGTTTGAAAACTAACTAACGAATCACTCTGTATATTATACCTGGTTCTCATAACAATAGATTTTTTTATCAATATTATCCCAGAGTTTACCCAAAGTGTGCCTATAAATTATTCATTATTTGGTTTAAAAATGTCTAAAGTAAAAGCACTTATTGTACCCAAAGACAAATATTGACTTGATACAATATGAAAAAAACGTTGCGTTGTTGAAAAAAGCGTCTGTTGTTTTAAAATTCGCTATCATTTTATATGTAAAATTATATCGTAAATGCCATCAATTCATAATTTTCAGGCAAACTGGACGTCGTTTTTTTCGATCATACGGTACTAAATACTCATATTTACTTTTATTTCGTTCTTAGCAGCAAACAATTTATGATATTAAAAAACAATATTTGTTACAGCGTGTCCAATCGGTTTGTGGGGTAGAGACTGTCAGAAGAAATGCAAATGCGAAAATAACTCGACCTGTGACCCCTTCAATGGACACTGCCACTGCACAAGAGGCTGGATTGGAGAATACTGCCAGAAAAAATGCCCTGAGGGTACTTATGGACAGGATTGCTTGGAAACATGCCGCTGTGAAAACGGGGATTGTGATCATATATCTGGAAAGTGCAAGTGTCATCCAGGATTTACTGGGCCACTGTAAGTACCGTATAAATTTGTTTGTTTATGTCAAGTGAAATACTTGTTGTTCAATATAATTTTGATTGAGTGATAAATATTTATAGAAGATAATTCTATTTTAAAATTAGATCGCAGACTGATTATTTTGTTTTCGCTTTCATTGATTATGACTAAGTCTGCACTTAGGGATATTGTATATTATTGCGAAGTAGAGCCACATATTATACAGATTATAATCTTTGTTTTTTCTTTATTGTTTTTCGTGGTTCCAATTTTCGGAATCGGGCACTAGTTAGGTGACTAGTTTGCGCACATAGCACGCCCACTTATGGCCTCTAAAATTGTGCACAGCGCCTGACCGGCACAGTTATTAGAGAGATATCGGAAAACCGAATAGCGTCATCCAGTATTTACGCGTACCTTATCATGGTTACGATATGCGCGAGTCAACGCAACACCCGCTATTAACGTTACCGCCTGACGTAATTTGCGGATCAATTACATCAAGCGCTCTTTCTAAATAACCTCTGATAACGTTTAAAAATTGCTTAAATGAAATGGGCATGTGCGGGTATTTGACAACTGGAGCCGGCCGGCGAGATCTTTTATTTTAGGTTATGTTTGAATTGTTTTGAATTATTGCTTTAGTTTTATTAGGTAATTTGATATTTAAGTAGCTGGGATTAGTTTTAATTAAATAAATATTGCTCTAAATATGGATTCCACCTCTTCCAATACTAAAGAACCTATAAAGAGTCTTAGGTTTACAGCAGATGACGACTTAGCCCTTCTAAGAGAATTTGTTGCTTGTTGTCCTAAACCCATTGGTAGGCGTTGAACAATAAAGCACTGGAAATAAGCACTTTAGCCCTTTAGTTTTAAAATACCTAGTACAAAACAATTTCAAAGTTTTAAATTCAACGTTAGGTTAAGTTTAAATAGCGGACGCGACGCGATCAGAATTCTTTCCGATCCGATAACTATAAATGAAGAGAGTTAATACCACCTCACGTAAAGGAAATAACACCTGGCCTTATTAAAGTTCATGCACGCTATTCGGTTTAGCGATATCTCTCTATTACGCTGTTTATTGTTATTTTACGCGAGTTTATTTTTGCGCACAGGAAATTTGACTAGTTTGTACATCGTCATAAAAAACAATTTTCGTACCACGAATTAGGGACAATATTTTTATCTGTATACTTATAGGATACCTAATCTGTGGTAGAGCTAACTAAACTGAACGCACACAGACAGAGCAAAAATGTTTTAGTAAAAAACATTTTTGTCTCGGGCAAATTTTAGGTTGAGTTTGAAATTTTAACATTATTTTTTTAAAATATGAGAGCAATAGCATTAAAAAATATTCTTGGTAATATACAGAGAATTCAAGTTTTTTAAATGGAAAAGTTACATATTGTATACCTATTACAGTTGGGGGTTGGAACCTTTGGTGTTATAATAGTAAAATAAAACACTAATTCACTACAATACACAAAACACTTTACTGGATGTGCGTTTCGCTAACCATGTTTTAGTTTTAATCTTCTGTTGATGATTCTAACATGGTTAGCGAAAGGCATGTCCACTGCAAAAGTAAAGTGTTTTGGTGTATTGTGGTGAATTAGTGTTTTATTTTGCTACATAGTGTATATCATATGATTACTGGATTGTCATATTATGATGTTTACTAAAATTATATTACTAAATAAAATGGTAATTTGGTAAAAATAATTTTTTTTTAATAGATGTGAAGATAACTGTCCCATTGGAACCCATGGCGACTACTGCAAATCGAAATGTCCTTGTCAAAACGGCGGCACGTGTGACTCGATTACAGGAAACTGTTTCTGTAAAGCAGGATGGACGGGACAAGTGTGTGCTAACAGGTGCTCTTTCGGGTTCTGGGGGAGCAATTGCTCGCAGCCTTGTGACTGCTACAATGGAGCCTCTTGCCATCACATCAATGGTACTTGTGAGTGCCAGCCTGGCTTTAAAGGAGATAGGGTAAGAAAATTACCGATTTTACCGATTTTATGACACGATCAGTCTATTGAAATTATTTTTTAAATCTTACCTTGTGTAACATTTTTAGAAATTAATTTCAATAGACTTGTATAACGAGTATTAAATTTAACATTTTGGGTTGAGGATTTCTTGAGGTGTACCTCCTTTTAAAGTTTTTTCACTTATTGTTATTTATGGTTTAATCATAAGCGCCCTTTAGACCTTTTTTAACCTAACACTTCTTTTTTATGCTTTTTATGATTCTATATAAAAATCTAAACATATCTAGGTATGCCTAAATTGAACCATTTCTGAAATATTTTTAATTTTTGTCATAAAAATTATATTTCAATAGTTTAAATGCGTTTTTTACAAATTCATGTTTACGTCTTCTAGAAAAGGATTCACAATGGTGTTCATTTTATAGCAATTATTAAGATTATTAAGATGTGCATTAAAATAATGATAAAAATATAGAATGTTCAGCCATCCTTCAATGTCACGTCATATATTGTCGAACTTTCTCAATCACTTGGCAACCAGATGATAGAGATTGGTGACGGAAATTACTGCATATACTTTTAGTAATTCTCCGGGTGCATCCACACTACCCTAGAAAAAGCGGAACGGCGTATCGGCGGCGGCGCGGCGTAACGACCTTGAATAGATTTCCAGTAATTCTATTGGCTGAAATTTTTGACAGATAAAATTTCTGACAGATGAATTTTTCAGCCAATAGAATTGCTGGAAATCGATTCAAGGTCGTTACGTCGATACGCCGTTCCGCTCTTTCTAGGGTAATGTGGATGCACCCTGAGAACCCATACCATCCTAGAAAAAGCGGAACGGCGTATCCGCGTAACGACCTTGACTAGATCTCCAGCTGGCTTGGCTGAAATTTTTCGAAAATTCATCTGTCAAAAATTTTAGCCAATAGAATTATTGCAAATCTATTCAAGGTCGTTACGCCGACCCACCACGCCGTTCCGCTTTTTCTCGCACTGTTCGGTTTTTATATGATTCAAAATAAAAAATATATAAATTGTAAAATTAGTAATTTTTTAATGGCCATAATGCGTTCTTTCAAAATCATCGAACAACTAAATCATTTCCATAGATCCAGTGACGTACCGTGACTTTGAATTTTGAGACCATAAACTGACAAATAATTTGTCAAAAAAATCATATTACAGCTATATGTTTTATTTTGCATAAAAATGTTAACTAATAAGTTAGAATAATTATATTTTTTCCCTAACTAAGTGGTTTTATCGCTAAATTTATCTAAAGCTAAGTACAACACAAATCTTATATACGTGGACTATTATAACAACAAATACATCGTAAAATACTATTTTTGTAGCATTCTGAACGAGGATTCAAGTTAAACTTTTTAGAAAATAATTTAAAGGAAAAATGAACCTGCTCGCAGATGCTTGTTCCGAGTAAATCCTAGAGCTCTATGATTTGCTTTTATAAACTCTGGCACATGATGCAGAATTGCATGAATCTTTGGAGTTATCTTAATACCTAAGTTGAGTATTTCCAATCTAAATTGTTCGATGTCATGTTCAAAATGTTTGTTTAGTGCTTGACCATACAACTCGAAACTACTTGATTGAATGCAGAAAACACTGCAATATATTTATTCCTAAAAAAAAGATGTTTAGGTTTTTGCTTCTAAAAACTTTGAATAGGATTCTTTACCGGGCGATATCGTCTTCAAAATATCCACTTTCTTTAAAAGTTGTCTGGCGTTATTTCCGTTACATTTTCCATAATGATCTAGATTCAATCCTGCTTTTTTTATCCAATCTGTTGCAACATTGGTATTCTCCAATTCAAGACAATCAAATAGTTTTTGAACCACACCTAACAAAATGTGAAGCTCAGGAGGGGGAATATACTTTAAGACAGGTGTTTCTTCGTCGCCAATGATTAAAGGTATGTTTATACAGTTTTCTAAAAAATAATTGCCCTTTTTTATATGGTTCATTGTACAACAGTTTAAAAAATACAAAAAAAATATTTCAAACAAAAACGCTTACTAAAATCTTTGGCTTTTGTTATATTTCCTCCAGATTGTTGCCATAAATTTGTATTTTCTGTAATACTTTTTATATTTCTGAATGATCCTTTAATTTCCATTTCCTTTATACATTTACATCACACCATGGGCAAGTGTGAGTGGATGAATTTGACTGAAGACCAAGGAGAATCATAATAAGCTTAAAGTCAGCGGCAAAAGTATAGGAACAAATTCCACATATGGACTGCAGATCTAACGTCTCAAAGAGGATTTTAATGTTAGCATAAGATTCAGACAACTTTGGTCCTAAGCCAATTATGAATAGTTTATTAATTCCAGCACTTTTATATTTCTTGAAATATTCGGGATCATTTTCAAGGAGCACATTCAGACAAACTTTAAGTGATCCACCACCACTATCAATGCCAATTTTTAGATGAAAATCTTCAGGTAATTCTCTAATTTCCAAAATATATGATAGAAGACCAGATAAATCTGAGCAGTATACAAAAATTAATATTAACTGAATTAACATTTTTCCTTTAAATTGTTTTCTAAAATGTTTAACTTGAATTCTAGTTCAGAATGCTACCAAAATAGTCTTTTACGATGTATTTGTTGTTATAATAGTCCACGTATTTTAGATTTGTGTTGTACTTAGCTTTAGTTAAATTTAGCGATAAAACCACTTAGTTAGGGAAGAATTATAATTATTCTAACTTATTAGTTAATATTTTTATGCTAAATAAAACATACAGCTGTAATATGATTTTTTTGACAAATTATTGTTTCAGTTTTTGGTCTCAAAATTCAAAGTCACGGTACGCCACTGGATCTATGGAAATGATTTAGTTGCTCGATGATTTTGAAAGAACGCATTATGGCCATTAAAAAATTACTAATTTTACAATTTATATATTTTTTATTTTGAATCATATAAAAACCGAACAGTGCTCGGATGATGTGGATGCATCCTCATTGTCATTTGATTTGGGGTTATAATTTTATTGACAGACATCGATCATCGATCAATGTCAGAATTAGAATTCAAATTTTATTATTGCATAAATGCCAAATATTTAAATAAAACGAACAAGCGTTTATTGCTAAGCTTATAAATTATTTTTCTCGAGAAAGAGACGCTGGTAGGACACTCTTGCCGTGGACGCTTTATAATATGATGATCCTATGTAAAATACAAATTGATAGCGTTTTAAATTTAAATAATACAGCGGGTTGCTGATGCTTTAGAAATAGGAATTTCAATAGTTCAAAGGCCTGGAATTAAAGGGATCGTAACTCGTTCAAGAAAAAATGGACAAATGGCGAAAAAACGGAACTCGTTCAATCAATAATATAGGAACCTTAGACAAGGAAAGAGAAAGGACGAGTAACACAAACGAAATTTTGTGACAGTTTGCCACCACGCAACTTGACGCATAGCCGTATCCTAAGGGTATAATACGTTATTGAAGATGTGCCAACAAAACAGTTTTATTTCAATTTTTATTAATAATTTTAAAGATTGATTATAATATTATTAATAATAATAACATTTGCAGTATACTTTAACAATATAATGACACAAAAGATTTTAAAATATCATTTTATCGATATATTGGAGAGTATGGCATTTTAATTTTATAATTAATAATTATATAGTTATTGAAAAAAAAATGCAAAAACTAATGGTTTTATTTATTTTAACTTCGATTTTTTAGACTTCCTGTACATTTTAACCTTTTTATAAGCTTCTCAAAGAAAACAATGAGATATAGTTTAAAAATATATTCAAATGTTTACAACAAATAATAAAGTTATTTTCTAATAAACTTAAAAATTAAAATTAGCTGTTCCTTACAGATAAAAAAATAGATTTCGTTAGAGGGTTTTGAACAGGATATAGCTGAGTATGTTATTTCAGGCCTCGCTCATCTTCGTTACGAAAACATAGATTTTGTTGAAGTACATATTTTGAAACAACCAATTCTGTTAGAAAATAAAACTTACTTATTTAGTAGTGTGCTAATATGCTAATGATATATAGCTAGTGACAACAACAACAATAATAATAACAATAAAACAACACTAATGATACTAAATCTATTATTATGTTTAAATTAAACTTACAAACATCAGTAAAATTTAACCTGGTAAATTAGCAATAACATTAGATTGTTCTAAAGATAAAAGATTATTGTCTGTTGATTTTTTGATACCTTCTTTTAACGATATCACTTTATTCCTGTTGCGTTTCGCTTTTTGTCCTAACACTCTCACCCTATTTGTTTGTCTTTTCCTTTTGTTCTGTTGTTTAAACAATTGTCTTCTCAGTTTTTTCTTCCTTGGAGTATCCTCTAAATCTGGGTCGATGTCACTCCCTTCGGTTCTCATACTGGTTGACGGTTCACCAATTTCTTCTCGAGGACGTTTTGTTGCCTAGAATAATCAGATTATATAAGTGCTTGATGTTCAGTTAAGACGGATTTATAGAAGAATCATTGTAAAAAAATATAAATAACAATAATGCAGCGTTACTGAAACATAGTTGGTCTTACCCTTTTTATTTGAGGTTTTTTCTGCAAATATTTTGGTAAAGCCTCAAATATGGTAGGGATTACTTCATCCAATAGACGAGTCCTATCCCCAATATGATAGAACAAACATTCTTTAAAATGCTTTGAGCAAATTTTATCATGTTTAGTGGGCCCAATCTGGCAAAATACATGTTTTTAATACAAACAGCACGTCTTTTTACATCCTTGGGAAATCTAAAAAAAGGTATTATTAGAACCTAAATGTAAGTATAGAATAATAGAGAGTGCTATGCTTACATATCAAGAAGCAAAGTTCTCTACTCTTTGTCAGAAGTATACATTTAGCACGTATTCTATTTAATGAGGTTAGAAGTTACCCACGCCACTGGAAAACCTTGCTTAGACTAGCATAATTTTTTTCCTTATGAAGATAACATGAATGAAAACAATAATGAACGGTATTAAAATTGGCTGAGTAGCTTCTTTTAGAGATAAATATTATAGCGTGTAAATGTTTACTTTCAAAATATACTATTAGCATAGAAAATTTAAAAAATATTAGTCGCTTACAAATACAACTGTTTAATTCGTACCTATGAAACGTAATTCCCGGTTCTTTTTTCGTATTCCGAGATTGACAACCATAAGCACAACAATTAACCATCGTGAAACACTAAAAATATTCTAGTCTATCAGTCAAAATTAAAGCACAAAGCCATAAAAAAACTCTAATGCCACCACAAATGTTTGCCACCTTAAAATGGCGTCCACTCGAATTTCGATCACAAGCGCATGCCATTAGCAGAAAGACGTGTTATTTGTCCTTTCTCTTTCCTTGTCTAAGATAGGAACGTACTTAACATTTTCTAAACAATATGAACTGATCTCAGATACACCCTAAAACTCATATTTGACAAATAATGATGTCGTAACGATGAACGATGTGTGAATGAAACAGTCTTTAAGAATTCAACATTAAGAATTGTTTTTTTTATAATAATTGTATGTAAAATTTAGACATTTTGTTAAATTTTTTTAGTTATGCTTATTACTACCATTTATTTTGTGAATAAATTTGCATTTAGTATATGCTTTTAAATAAACACACAAATATACAGATTTTTTTAATAATTAATTTTTATTTTGGTTAATTTGTATTGTCAATTTTTCTACAAATCATTATTTCAAAAAAAAAAATGTATTTAGGAAAAGTTTATGAATATTTTAATGGAATGTTATTGACTGATAAATATATATGTTTTTAATTTGTTTAGTAAAATAAAAATTTGTATTTGATTTTTTATTACATTGTTATGAGCATACTGTTGTATATTTATCGCCTTATTTAAAATAATAAAATAAAAAAGTTGGTAAAGTCTAGATATGGCCTACTTTACGTGGAGTCCGAACCGCGGTTCTCAGCCGTATAATGGCCCACCGACTTAGCGAGTGTCTAAATCCACTCTTAGTGTACGGACACAACGGAGCGCCAATCATCGCTCTGACCATAGTATCGCCCCATAGCTCCGCTAACTCAAAAAAATTAGCACACATAATTAGATCTGTGCGGTCACATCAAAGCGCCGATCATCGCTCCGCACATAGTTTGATGCTAAGGTCTGGTAGGTGGTGCCTGGGTAGAAACTGAGCTTAGTATTTTTTTACCTTCGACCAGTGTACATTTCATTGAATCGCCGTTATGGATAAAGAAAAATTACTCGGGCAAGTGTTTGTTCGCGAACCTATTGGAATAAAAGAGACAAAAATCATCACAACTGTATTATTTTGAATAAATTGTGGAAGGAAGTTGCAAAGGAGTGCGATGTATTATTTTAACACTTATTACTTTGACACTTTTTTTTCTAGGAACCACATTTTAGCACTTGAATTCAGAATAATATCATCTTCACCCGAAGAAGAAAATGTCGAATTACGAAATATCCATGATTTTGGGACAACTGTTCTTGCTTAACTGGTGCAAAAGTACGTTGTTGCGGGCCTCGATTTGACCATATGTGTGCGTGGGTCGGAGCGAGGCTTAGCGCAAGGGTACTATGCTATGGTCGAGGGTCATTGGTCCCCGTTGTGTCCGTACCCTTACTCGTGAAATCTCCTTCGCAAGTATCTGCCACTGCACATAAAATATATTTAGTTTTTAACGTTTAAATTATATGAACATTATTTTTAATATGTTTTAGCTGACCATGCAATAGGTATGGTAGGCTATTAAGATCGGCAATTTTTTTTTAATTTCACTCAAAATGAGTTATTTGGGTCATAAATGACCTAAATACAAAATATTTTCATGGTGTCTGTCTGTCTGTCTGTAACATGCTAACTCAAAAACCGCTAAACCGCTTTTAACCAAATGTGGCACAAAAATACTGTGGCACGCGAGAATCTGGCTATTAGTTTTTGGTGGGGGTGGGGGTATGGGAGGGGGTTAAAAATTTAAAAAAATTGAAAATTCCAAAATTACAGTAGCTAGCGAAACGCGGTTTTCAATTTAAGATTAGGAATAAGATTTGCAATAAAATTTGTAATAACATCAAAATCAGTCAGTCGCAGTTTTTGAGATAAAAAAAAATGGAAAAATTCCTTTACTTTGAAACTAAAAGAACTGCCTACCAACTTTTTATTAACATATTTTAGTATGGGCGGCTATACGTGCCTCCCGGCGCCAATTTTTATTATCTTATACTAGCCCTGGTCACTTTATTTCCGTGGTCTGTACTTTAATGCATACGACCAGTTGACAGACAAAGAGATAAAATAAAAAGCGCCATACAGTGTTGCCGGTTCGTACAAGAAATAAAATCAATCAGTTCAAACCCTAGATGTGCGGTTTGAAATTTTGATGCAATTTTTGTAGGCAATACCGCATAGAAGAAATGCATCAACCTAACTTTTATCTCTTTTTAATACATTTGATTTTTCATTTACGCGGTCTACATCACTGTCTTACACGTTAAAATCCAGACCACGCAGTTTTGATGGCCAGACTAGTATATATATACTATCTTGGCTTCTATATAGTTCCTGTTTGGAACTAGATGCCAAGATAGTACCGGAAGTAAATTTTAAATATTTTCAGAACATAAACAAATAGAATAAGGGGAATAATGTTATATTACCACAGAATTATCATTTTTGTATGACCTCATCAATATTTTGTGATTTTTTTCTAGTGTTTGGATACCTGCCCAGACGGTAAATGGGGTCTGAATTGTAAAGAAAATTGCTCATGTCAAAATAACGCTCAGTGCTCCAATAAAGATGGTTCATGTACGTGCACCAAGGGCTGGACTGGAAAGTATTGCGAAAAAAGAGCTTGTCCCGATGGGTTCTGGGGCCACAAATGCGAAAATACTTGCGAATGTCGTCCCACCAATACAGAAATGTAAGTTTGATGCCTATTCTAACCTAAAAACGTTATTTTCCAGTTTTTTGGATTTCCTAAATTTCTATAGTTAATTGAAATGAAAAATTAATATACTTTCCATTTTACCATTGTCATTTTTCTTGTCTACAAAACGACAAAGTTAATTTTCCAGTTTTTTTACTATTCAGTGACCTTTATAAATACAAATTGAATTACATAATAAAAGTAATAGTATACTGTTTGATTTTTTTTGGAGAAAATTAGCATTACTATTTAGAAATTATCAAAACAACGTTATCTTGTAACTCCTAACTGAGTCATTAGGGTACAGTTTATAACTCCACGAGTAGAGGAAAATAGCTTTTTTTATGCTAAGTTGATTAAAATCCGTTCATACTAAACAGATATATCAACATTTAAAAGTAAAAATGTTTGGCCTTCTCCTACCACATTAGTTTTGAAAATAGACTAAATTGGTCTAACTAGAAAATGGTCTAAAACAGTAAATCTCGTAATAGTTTGAAGAATTCAAAGCTAATAATTTTAAAACACCTCAGTTAGAAACATTTAAGGGAAGTTTAGATTGGAAGCAAGGGAAGCTTAGAAGGAAACAAGTTTAGATTGGAAAGTGCCCGTAAGGATAATGTAAATACTATTTGGCGCTATTCTTGCAACGGTCGCGACCCAAAGCTTTTGATAATTTCGGAGCGGTTCGGCTTTTTTCCGGAATTATGTCGCCAAATATTGCTTATTCAAATTTATTACTTTCTTTTATTTTTTTTAAATTAAATACAGTGTATTACATATATAAGAATCTTTATTTTATATAAGGACATTTATAACGACGTTATACCACGATCCACGATGGTTTTGCAGTTCACAGTTCACACAGCTTTTTAAGTTTTTAGTGCCACTTTTTCACAATTATCACGGGTTTGAGTCAGTAAAATTTAAATTAAACTTACTAATTTACTAACTTACTAATTAAGATAGCAATAATTACTTTGAAAATGGACGCTTTAAACACTTTTCGGTATTTTTTTCAATGAGTGCAGTATAAATTTTGAAAGATTTTATAATTTTTAAAGATTCTGACCTATGATTCTGACTTTTAGAAGAGAAAATTATTTCTGTTCTTGTTTATGGTTGTTCTTAGCAACCGCTATAGCAGCGCGAGATCCCGTACAACGTATGCACCCCAAAACAATTATAAGTTTTGGCGGAAAGCCGAGCATTCCAATCTAAACTTGTTTCTTTTATCTATGATTTGGAACATTTAAAATTGTTTAAAAAATTATTTGTAGACATCTTTATAAAAGAAAATAGCGTTTGAAAAAAAATAGCATCTTCTGTTCGGAGTGAAAATGACTTTTTGTGCCTCGCCTGTAATAATTTACTTCTAATAAAACAATATACTATTTTCCTTAACCTTTATCATTAATAGGTTCTAAGTTACAGTCGACGTCCTCTATGAATTGAACCTGTACCTACTTATTTTGTTTCTTAAGGTGCCATCCTTGGACCGGCGATTGCGATTGCAAACCCGGATGGAACAGCAAAGACTGTTCCCGACCCTGTCCTATTCTCACCTATGGCAAAGGCTGTTACGGTCTTTGTAAATGTAAAAACAACGCCCAATGTTCACCCTTGAACGGAACATGTATCTGTCCGCCGGGATTCACCGGAGACGAGTGCGAATTGCACTGTCCAGAGGGCAGCTTTGGAGAGGACTGCGCTCAGAAATGCGACTGTAAGTATCTTAGTTTCTGTAATAATTATTTTTTTAATACAACCCTCTAAGAAACTATACATTAGGAGCTCAAAAAAGTTGGCGCCAAATATATTAAATGAAGAGATTAAGTAAGGAGTCATATACTAAATAATATTTTTATATTCATTCTTTAAATATGGAAGCTACGTTTTTGTAACCATTTTTTTGTTAATTTTGTTTAACCTTTCTTGATACATTTGAATTGATTCGTTTTTCTATTGTTTGTTTTATATTATTTATTGTTTATTGAAGTGAAACTTCTTTACGCGCGCTGGGAGTTACAAGCGAGAGGAAAAGAGATAAGGACAGCCTACGGCTTAGAAAAATCGCCCGATTTAAATGAAATTTGGTGTGTTGATAGATTGGATCAAGGCCTACTTGCCCGTGTACGACACGGGTCACTGTGACAGTTAGTTTTGACGTAAGAAACGTCAAAATTTGATGTCGTCCGATCGCGACCAAATTTGGTGGGTAGGCTATGTGAGCGACGGTGTACAAGGTTTCACCCTACAAAGTTGGATACGACGGACGTTTCGTTTACATCTTCATCAGGGTGGGACTAAGTATTTGATATTGAGGAAAAATGTGTGTCGATTTCGGCATAATTGGGGAGGGGCTACAGGATGACCCTCTCGACTTTTCGAACCGATGTTTCTAAATCGACGAAATCATCAGGGTTTTTCTTAATTATGGATCAATTGGAGCTCAACCAAATTCGGCACGTAGATAGAGGTGCCCGAATGGAGTGCACAGACGGACAGACAGTCATTTTAATAGAAATTTTGTGAAAGTGGATCAAATCACTTATTAATTTTTGATTTATTACTTTTTCAATATTTCCAACTATACTTTTTCAAACATGTCCTTCAAATCCTTCAATTTAATAGCTGTTAGTAAGAAGTTTCACTTCAAATATGCGCACATAGTGCACACACAATTTTGTTATAACTGATTTTATGTAAAAATAAACTTGGTTACACTTAGTTTCTAGTAACAAAAATTGTTACTTGTGCTGTGTACGACCGTTCCTAGACTAAAGACTAGTTATAATGAATCTGAATTTTGGCCGTTTACTGCCAAAAAAATTGACGACAGATTTTAAAAAGTTACTGTACATAAATGGTTCGTTTACATTTTAGTTATATATTATATTGGGCCAAAACAAATCAGTGTATGTGGTTAGCTCATAGTCTCTTTGTTTCTTTTATACGTTATTATTTATATTTATTGACTCAATATATATATAAAATATTTAAGTGTTGGAGAGATTGTCAGATGGATGTTTCTTTCGGTATATTTAAAAAAAAATATAATTTTTACAGGTAAAAATGGTGCAGAATGTTCTTCGGAAACCGGCCAGTGTCAATGCCCTGCCGGATGGGAGGGCCAACAATGTGATAGGCCGTGCAGTAGTAACTCATTCGGTATATTATGCAATCAAAAATGCGTTTGTAAGAATGGAGCTTCCTGTAATCCCATTAACGGTTAGCATTACTAACGTATTATTTTTATTAATCTAAATTAAGCATGCATTTATGTAGTAATAATTAAAGTTTTGTGCAACGAAAGAAGGTATGATGTACGATAGGGATTATTGTCTGTTATTTTAATTCAGAGTTAGATATTTTCTCCCTTTTTTTGTTACCATACGTCGAAGTCGTCCCTTCTCTCTGCACAGCCTTAGGTTTATATGACGAAATCATTAATTTGCAAATCCCAATTGAGTAGCCCAAGGGCGTAAAGCCCGGAACTCGAGGTTCGCGAATGGAGGACAGCAAATATGTGTAGAGTTCGTTGTAAAGTGTTAAAACTAAAATTTAAAATTATATAGATTTCAAATATAAAACAAGTATTTTAGAAAACAATTTTTTGTATTATAGATGATTAACGTTTCAAAGAATTTTAAATCAACTCTAATAACTTTCTATTCTGACATCGTTTTCTTTGATCAGATGGTTCATTACACTCGATACCTTTTAACTAACAATCGATTCAATTTTCTGTCGGTCCAGCCTCTATATGTCATTTATTATAAATTGGTATAAAAACTTACACATTTATAAAATTTTGATGTTCAATAAAAGACGTTCTACATAAATTATTTCAACGATTGTTACATCCGATTCAAAAAAAATAGAAGTAGTTTAAAACTAGATAGTGTGTGATTTTTTTAATATTAGAATTAACTAGTTTTTTGCATGCTTTACATAAATGTTTTTTTTTGTTTTATTTTGCATGTTTTTGTTGTGTGTGTGCAGGAACATGTACTTGTGGCGCGGGCTATACAGGAGAGTTTTGCGAAAACCGTTGCGAGCAAGGTTATTTTGGAGTTAACTGCGAACAGGTTTGTCAGTGTCAAGAGGGCAACAACATCGGATGTGACTCTGTCACTGGAAAATGTATCTGTAAATCAGAATGGAAAGGTAGGAATACTTACTCCACATATTTTGTAGTGTTAAATAGCTTTTTAATAGTGTTGTTTCATTTGAACTACTTTTAAAATTGATGATTTTGATTTTACTATAATGCCTTATTAACTCAATAAAAGTCTTCTTTAATCTATAGATATTTCCAAACAAAGTTGTTTTTACGTTATTGATGCTTGAAAAAGCCTTTATTAGTAGTATTGCCACACACATTTGTCTATATGATAATTATAGGAAAAGGCAGTGACGAATTACAGCATTACAACTGAAATAGTAAATTAAAAATTCTTATTTCCTGTAAAAGGCTACTGAATTAATGAAAAACGGAGATTTTGAATAAAATTTCAATTTCATGTCACCTTAATGACTCATTTATCTATGTTACCATACAGTATAAGGTACGAAAACTTTCTTTGAAGATATCTGCTTATCCCTTACATCAATATAAAATTGACAGTAATGATGGCGACGCAGCTTTGTAGGCTTCTGCTAGATTATTATGTATTTATGTTATTTTTATAGGTATAATTTGCGAAACCCAATGCCCTGAAGGCAAGTACGGCGCCAGTTGCGATCAGGATTGTAACTGCAAGAATAACAGCTCGTGCGATCCAGAAACAGGATCTTGTTATTGTTCCAGAGGCTGGCAAGGAGACGATTGTTCTATTCCATGTGAAAATGGCTGGTATGGTATTGGATGCAGGCAGAAATGTCCAGATGTCTCTTCAGGTACCACTAAATTTTCTCTTTTATTTATTTTGGCAACTTAACAGTTTATTTCCAATATTTATTTATTGTTTAGTGCAGTTTCTTCATATCTTTTTCAAAATGTACTAAATTATATGTCTGTTAATATCTTATTATAGTGGCCAAAATTAGCAAAATCTTTTCATACAGATTAGAAAGGATAATATGAATTTTTTAAATGGTTTTTAATTCTTTTCAGTACTTTACTTTTTATTGATCTTTTCAGGAAACAGAACTTGCGATCATATAACCGGAGAGTACATTTGTCCACCTGGCTACTTAGGCTTAACTTGTAACCATCCCTGTTCTATTGGAACCTATGGTAAAAACTGTGAACAAAAATGTTCTTGTAAAAACGGAGCCGATTGCCATCATGTAACAGGTGCGAATTATTGTTAAATAAAACGACATATTGATTATATTTTAATATCATTTTTCAGGGGAATGTCAATGCTTGCCAGGTTGGATAGGCCGAAACTGTACAACTCCTTGCCCAGCAGGCAGTTTTGGAATGAATTGTAGTCAACACTGTAAGTGTCTAAACGATGGAGAATGTCGCAGAAACGATGGCGTTTGTAGATGCAAACCTGGATGGACAGGAACACAATGTACAGAAAGTAAGTTACTCTTTAATCTTATTGTTTTAATAAGTCTTGTAACGGAAATTTCGTTACATACCCACTGTACATTTGGCGCCCAACGTAGGGCGCCAAAAAAAAACGATCAAAATTTAACATTTTTAATTTAAAGTAATATCTTTTGAAGCTACTTGTTTACAATACTATGATTTAAATTTGTATTTTTAATAATAAAAAATAATAAAATAGAGTTAATGTGGAAGTAATAACTTAATGTAGAATTAAACTCTAATATTTTAACAGATTTAAAAAAGAAAGTAAAAAATATCATTGTGTGGATTTGCAACACAACTACAAATCAAAATTACGGCAACGCAGAATTAGATGCGCTAGAATATTATTCTTTAGTAACACCCCTTGTCATAGTTTTCGAGCGCCAAACTACTAAAAAATAAAATGAAAATTTATTGTTATATGTGATGTTATTTCATTATATCAATTACTTGTATTGATTCTTTTTTGTGATTTGCATTTTTCGTTTTCAGTTTGCCCTGAAGGATATTACGGAGACCACTGCATGCAACCCTGCGAGTGTTTGAACGACAATTTCTTGTGCCATGCCGCCGAAGGGTGCATTTGTAAGCACGGCTTTACTGGCGACAAGTGCGACGAATCGAACATTTTGCAGCGATTACAGAATCCCGACGACGCGAATTCCAGTTATGGAGTCGTTCTCGGGGTCGTTATGGTGTTCATTATTTTCGGAGCGGTAGTGGTGCTACTTATCTTTTACTACAAACGAAGAGTTTCCAATCTCAAAACGGAAATTGCTCACGTGCAATATATTGCAGATCCAAGCGGATTTCCGCCTGGTAAGTAAAAATAGGGATTACAGAACAATGCATTATTTGTCTCTAGCTATTATTCATTGTGTACACAATACATTCTATTGTGTAGAGTGAGTGGAAGTGGTGGGGATTAATCACCGCGACTTTAAAGATCTATAGTGTCCCTCTTTCTTAAGTTATAACTCATATACAGTCTATAACCCATAATACATGGGGTTATTCCTGTTTTAGAAGAGACAGAGGACTGTGGGATTTGGCCTTCCATGTCCTTCATATTCGAGGAACTTGTCTCCAGCTGAGGTACCCGTGAGGTGGAGGCTGGAGGATCTGTCTCTATTTTCTCGATCTCTTTATCTTGGTCTCTCCTTAGACTGATACCGATGTTCTCCCGAATCTAGAGGATAATCTCTGTTTCTATTGCCTGTCTTTCTCTATTGCTACCTTGGATTTGAGGCAGTTCCTATTGTGAGGACCAGTAGCTTATGTGCAAGTGCCAGTTGCCTCTCCTTTAGTTACCTTTGGAGTTGTTTCCTTCGAACTTGCACTGTTTATGTACACAATATTGTTACGGACTCCGTGGTTCCGTAGTTAATTTTTTTATTCTAAGTTTGTGCACACTGACGTATACCCGTGCCGCCATTGACATCAACACACTTAACTAATTTAGTATACAGCTAAAATCTACAATACACTACTTAATAACACCACAAAAAAATCACAATAACGACTAACTATTAATTTCCAATCATTTCCGACTGATTTCTTGCGATTTCACTATTTATTCAGAAACCGAATGTTCTGCCTTGAAAGCTTCTTGTATACCCACACGCGTCACTTCTAGCTTGTCTTAGAAGATACGTTTCCTTCTGTACATTTCCATTCTAGCAATTTCTATTAGATATATTCAGTTCCACCTAACTTATCCAAGAAATGCCGCCTTTTTTTGGTGGTTTCCGCCTAGACGCTAAGAGATGGTGCTCGACACGCTTTCACTGCGTGTATCGGTTTCTTGCTGAGAGATATCGTAGACAGTTATTCTACCCCCAGTAACAATATGTTTATCTCGGAATTTATTATTGGAGCAACATTTTGACATTCCGTGTTACACAAATTCGAAGGAACGAATGAGAAATTAAAAATCGACAAAAGTTATTAGTTATACTGGTTGAAGACTAAACTTTTAAAATAAAATATTGTATTTATATTCTGATTAATGGTGTGGATATACTCAGTGTTTTGTACTCAGAAGAATATTAAAAATCTAAACCCAAGATCACCTAACTAACAAAAATTACTAATAACATATGTAATGTTATTTAAATTATAATGTTATTAAAGTTATTCTTTTTATTTCAGATCGGAACCATTTCGACAATCCTTCTTATACATATCCTACAATTTTGAAACGCGACAATGAAACGTTGCTCAACAACTCTAATAGAATAGTAAATAATTTGAAGTCTTCTAATGCGGACAGGGCCAGGCTGGGAATAGCTTGTTGTTCGACAGACGATGAAGAATACCCAATAAAAAGTAAGTAAAGGTCAAAATGTCGACTCCCATGTCTATTTCGACCGTCGCGAAGATTTACTTTATATTTTATTTAATTTTGTGATGTTAATATTGACTCAATTATAATTATTTTATATACTAAGTTTTGAGAATTTTGTTATTTATAGATGGATATACTTTTGAAGAGTTTAACAGATTGAAAAACAAAGACGCTGATGCTACTAATCCAAATATTTATCACAGTATCGACAAACAACTGGATCACGTTTACGATGAAATTCAGCAAAAAGATATAGGTAAGAAAATATTTCTGATTTGTTTGTAATTAGAAACTTTAGGAAAGCATGAAGAACAATATTTAATATGCGTTTTCTATGTAGGAATTATCAAATGGAAATAATCCAAGTAAGTCGTTTGTGGCATTTTAAGCGCACATTCTGTATAATGATTGTTTTACACCTGTTTGTTTTTCTTCAATCTTGCATGCACTTAAATATTCTGCTCTTCTTATTTCGACTTTTTAATGCGCTTATTTTGTTTACTGTTGTTTTAATGTAAATAGTTATTGCTTTAAAAATATTTTAATTTAATTAAAATAAACTTCAAATTTTTAGATATAATAACTCTTATAAATCTGTAAGTTTCATTCAATAGTATTTTTTCTAATAAATATGCGTGATGGTAACTTCTATACATAAATGTAATGAATACCACATGCATGTACTGTATGATCCCAAATTAAAGAGCGCCAAGTTGGCTTGGAAATGGCGGTCGATGATATTCATCATATAAAATGACAACAATCGTCGTTTCCAAGTCAACTTTAACAACATTTTTGCGATTGTATCGTATATAAATCAGCTTTAGGTAATATTATAAAAGAAATGCTTTTCTTTAAATCATTTTTTACGAAACTAATGGCTAAAGCAAAATCTATAATAAATGCATTGTATCTTACCCACCAGTGTTTAAAAACAAATCTTAAATAACAAAAAATAGAAACATGTTACATAAAGTTAGTTGTTAGTGAGTTGAATTTTAAAAATACAACAGAAGAATAAATACTGGAAAAAATCAAGAAATTTCCTGTTTTGACTAATTAAAATATTAATATATTGTTAGTACGCTATATCCCATACTGTTAATTTCGTGTTATTATTGTAATTTCTTAATGGCGTTTTTTTGTTTCATCATTAACCAAACAACTAACTTAAATTGATTAACCATTAATATTTTTATGTTGTATGAAAATCTCAGTCGGTTGTAGAATGTAGAATGTTTAGGAGGGGAGTTAATCACCGCGACCTTACAGATCTATTGTGTTCCCCTTTCTTGAGTTATAACGAGTTATAACTTATCATAAGTCTTAGGGCTTTAACTAAAGCCAGTATCTGAGACGGCTCCACAGAAGCCAACTCTCCATCCTCGACATCCTCGACAACCTCGACAGCCATTACCAAAATTCATGGCACGAATGGTCGTCGTCACGGGGCACTCAGTGATAAGGTGTTCTGGTGATCTCAGTCGGTTATTTCATCTACTCTTTATTTCATGTCCCTAATGATTTTAAAATACTACCGTTCTGAAAATGGAAATTGGAAAATTTTGAAATAATGCCATCTACTAACAAACTTATTACAATACCATTTATCGCTTCATGAGTAGAGCAAAAAAATCTCTATTTTTCGATACCAAGTTGATTAAAATCGTTTTATCCAAAACAAAACATTTGAATATAAAAATATTTAACATTCCACACCACTTTATTTTCGAAAATATACGAAAATGGTCTTGAACAAAAAAGTGCCTAATGGGTTAAAAAAAACAGCGTTTATATTTCCATCCTAACATCGCTAGGAAAATTTAAGAAAAAATTGTAATTTTCTATTTTGTGTTGCTCTTGCTATATACAGACCGGACCACCGTAGTAGTAACATAGGCAGAACCGGACGAAGTAGCGTATACCCGTCCGCAGGATAATAAGCAGGCGAAAAAATGCCATAAAATAAAAATAGGTAGATATGTGATAAGAATGTTTCATAATTTGTATTTATTCGTGTTTTAATAGCCAAAACGAATACATAGATTCTCGCGACAGTTCTCGTGTAAAATTTATTTTTTAAGTAAAATAATGGATGTTTACGAAGTTCGTGAGAAAATTCAAATTGTAAAATGGTATTTCCAAAATAGGTCTTATCGGGATATACAAACAATTTTTCCACAAACTTTTGTAAACAGGCCAATTCTATCTTTACCTACTATATCAAGAGTTATTAATAATTTTGAAACACATGGGTGCGTATCCCCACAAAAACACAATGTTGATGTGTTGATTAATGAGAGAACAGGAGTTAAAGCAAGTGTTTAACCGTTTAATTAGTGAACATGGAACTATTTTGTGATCCGCTAGATGACCAGATCTTTCTCCCAATGATTTCTTTTTGTGGGGTTATGTAAAACCCAAAGTGTATGGTCATAATAGGGCTAATAATCTGGATGAGCTTCAAGTAAAAATACGAGAGGCTTTCCAAACTATTAGCCCTAATATGTTAGCCAATGTCAGACGGGGATTTTACGACCGCCTAGGCTTCTGTCTAGCACAAGAAGGTGGTCTTTTTCAACACTTGTTATAACTTTTTTTTATTTAGAGTAATATTTTAGTTTTTTTTGGGTTCAGAGAATTTATTTATTTTTAGTTTTGGCTTGTAAACACACTCAAATAATAAAGATTTAAGTATTTTTATTTTAAATGTTACCTTAAGTGAAGGTAAACACTTAAAATGAAAATAATAAATACTCGGCACTCCTCGCGTCGTATTCCTAGTCTGTCACGACCGACCCGTCCAATCACAACTGCAACTTCGTACTGCCTGACTAGCCGGCAGTGAATCTCGAATACGAACTGTTACTAGTAGCCTGGTCTTCTCTGTATATAGTTGCTCTTGCTATGTGTATATTCGAAGAAAACTTGGCGTCTGGAAGTTTTTTGACATGGGAAATTTGATTTCGATATCAATATGACTACTACTTGTTGGGGGCGCTACCTACATATCTTTAACTGGTTTGAAAGTTAATAACTTTTCATCCGTGCCTGTATAAAATTGTTGAGCGAATTATAGGCTATGAGTAATGGTTCTCGAGATATTTGGAATTGAAATAATCGATACATGTCATCATTGGCAAAAATTGAACATGTTGTTAAGATATTAGATTAAGTTATTAATTAGATTGAAATCATAAATTTGAAATGTTTTTGTGCCAAAGGTTCAACAGAAATTGTTTTATCATAATTTCTTCTAGAAAAAATTATGATATATGTATATAATTTAAAAAAAAAAGATTTCCAAATTTATAATTTCAGTCAACTAGTCAACATGTTTATTTTTTATTAATAATTAATATGACATGTATTGATAATTTACAATCCAAATATCTTGAGAACTTAAGAAATGTACATTTATTCTCTCAGTACTTTTATACAGGTGTGGAAGAAAAATTACTCTTCAAACCAGTTCAAAAATATGTAGGTGGCGCTCCTTGCAAGTTCAAGTCATTGACATTGAAATCAATGATTTCAAAAATTATTTTGAAAAATTGAAATAAAAATGAAACTTCTGCACCCTGTATCTCCAAAACGATGCATTTTAAGACATACATTTATTCGAACTTTTTTACTTATATTTATCTGCTATATATGCTGTAGAAGTTTCCTGAATACAATTCCGACTACCCTGTATGTTGGTAATATTGAATTAGTTTTGTGATAGAGTTAAGCAAAGTAGAAAAAAAAACTATAGAACCTAGGCTATCTAATATAAAAATAATATTATACAATAGGTATAGATAATACTGTTTTGATTGTTATAGAATTGGAATATGATCATTTGGACTATACAAGGCCTGTGAACACCATAAAACCGCACTATCAGAAAATGTCTTCCCCATTTGGTTCGAGGGATCTCGTCAAGAGTGATAAATCAGACGTAGATGAGTGAAAATTAGTAATTCGTCAGTTTGTGAGTTTGCCATTCTCATTTTTTTACGTGAATTCGGTTTTCATAAACTTATAGCCGTCTATGTTCATGCTCAAGAAAATTTATTCGATTTTATAATGTCTTATCATTCTTAAGGGCCAAAAGTGCTTACACGGGAGTAAGCATCTCAAAATATATTGCAATCTGTGAAAATAAAGTTAGATAACTGTTAAAATGATCCATATGACAACATTCTCTAATTTTAACTTAATGATTGGTATGCGGGGCGGTTATACAAACAAAGGAGAATAATATTTTAACAGTCAGCTGTAGAGACTTTCAGTGATTTCCTATCATATCATTTGTTAAATCATAATTCTTAGATATTGATTATAAAAATATGTATTTAATTGGACCTTAATAGTTTATTAGAAGAAGCACAGGCTTGTCAGATGTATTAAACGTCGCAATATTCAAAATAAAAAAAGTACTTTAGGTTGGAACCTTTCGTTTTACAAAAGAAAATTATGTATTGCACTAAACACTCTATGGTTACATTGAGTACATGTTGCGCTATCCATATTAGCATTATCAGCAAAAGATTAAAATTAAAGAATTGATTTAAGAAGAATTAATTAAACTATAGTATGCTAGAAATATTATATTGCAACCACAGTTCGAAATTTCAACCTTATTTATATCTGATTAACTTTTGGTAGTTTGTGGTTCCTTTAGAACATAAAATTTTATACTTAGCTACAATATAAGACATGGAAAACCATTAAAATAATACCTTTGTAGCGTGTTCAATTCTTGAAAAAGCCTGGGTGAAACAGAACTATGATTTTTTTTTGGAATATGCCACTGCGTTAGATTCCAAATGTGCCAGCTTGTCAGCGACTCGTTAACAAGTTTACCAATCGGAAGCAGAAAACAAAAAAGATAAAAACTATTAAAAATATCTAAATGTAATTACTTAAACGTCAAAAAGAACACGTCAGTTTTTTTAGCATAGATACGTGTATTAAAAATGTATTTATGTATTCAGAACTTGAAAACTAACAAACGATCCCAACAGCGCTTTTAGATGGAGCGGACCGTCCGCGCGGATGTTTTTTCAAGATAGCCATTGCCGAACTCATCCGGACGGAGCATACGCGAACCATGTGAAATTGTTCATATAAATTCATAGTACTTGCTGGAAGTCGCGGACGCTCCGCTCCATCTGAAAGCACTGTAACGCAGTGGCATTTTACAAAAAATAACTTATTTCTTAGATTTCTGTTTCAGTGTTGAAATACCTGGCTCTTTTCTGGAAAAGATTTGGGAAGTATTGTTATGTGCTCATTTTATCTTAATATTAATAGAAACTATTCAGAGGTATATGAAATTTTAGCATTCATAGAGTTAAGATTTTAATATGTATTTTAAAGCGTGTGAGTTTTCCTGAATTATTAGATAAGTTTTAAGTGTACATATAACATTTTATAAAATATCGCTGATTCTTAAGCGGTTTATAGATTGTATCATTGATTAAAAAGTAATAATTAAAAGTACAATATTCTTTTTAACTATTTTTTCTTGTCTACTGGGTGTACCAAAAACTTCACAATTAAGCTTGATTTTCATGCATCCGTTATCCGACGATACGATGATACGATATTAATTTTATTGGTTGAATTTAAAGCCAATCAAAGTCTTTAACCAATCAAAGTCTTTAAATTCAACCAATAAAATTAATATCGTATCATCCTATCGTCGGACAACGGATGCATGAAAATCAAGCTTTATTGAAAAGTTATTGAAAAAAGTTTGTACGAAATTTTTTCAACATGTCCAATAACAAAAAAAAATCTGACTTATGTCAGAGGCAACTGTGAGATGTTAAATTCCAAAAATCCTCCCTACGACAAAGTAGAATTTAAAGACAAAATATCGAAAAAAGTCAAAGAGAAAAGTTATTCAGATTTTGATTTATGACTATGTATCTATCTTTGTAATTATACAGGGACTTCCAAACATTGTTGCTACGATATTTTTATTTTATATCGATATTTTCTCACCTAACCCCACTTATTTCATATTGAGACAATTTTAGTCCTTTGCCCACACATCGGTTGTCGAATGGCGTATGTCAAAATTTTCAATATATATATTCGTTATCTATGGTCAAAATATTGTTATTTGCTATTGGGTATGATTAGGAAATTCTGCATTAACTTATTTTTAGAATTTTTTATTTATTGCGAACTTTTTGGAACACTCTGTATAAGCTTTACTCAGATTTTAAGATTTTACTTTTGTGCAATTACATACCTTTATATACTGAACACAGAATATAATAAAATATTTTTGTGCGTTACAACTTCATGTAAAATAATTATATAGGGTTTTTGGGGTTAATACAGAAATCTTTATTTAAATTAAGTCATTCTTTCAAATATTTTTTTTGTTTGTTGTAATAGTCTAGGGTGTTTATCGTCCTATATTTTATCTATCAAAATTTATAAGATATTTGTAATATTTTTTTACCAAAAACCCTGTATATAATCGACATACTTTTGTGTAATATTGACATGTATTTTTAATGTGTCCCAGGTATATTTTTATCTTACCCGACACTGTGATATTTTTCCATTTTTTATTTGACAAAAACATTAAATTTGAAATAACTTTATTTAAAAAAATTATTTTATTTATACACTTTTTACTTGTAAAGGGAACAAGGTACATGTGCCAAATTTGCCTATTTTGAAACGATTATATTAATGTATAATGTGACGTACTGTGTATTTTTGATATGAGAAAAAAGTGTTGTGGCAAATATTAAAATAAATAATTATATACGTTTTTAAAAATAATTTTTAAAATTACTATAATACGTTGTTCTATCTCGAATATATATAAAGAAAGATCAAGAAATATAATGTATTTAGGAGTTAACTGTAATACAAACTAGGTTATAATTTTCATCATACTTTTATAACTAATCATACTATGTACATGTTAAAGTATTCACTGCCTATGCTTTAGAAAAGTCATCATATTGTGGAGTATCTCAAAGTAAGTCTTTCAGTATTTGAATTTATTTATAAACAAATTAATTAATTACTTTAAACGTTTTCTAGAATTTTATAGAAAATTACCCATTTTTATGGTGGGTTCATACAACGAAATAAAATAAGATAAACTAACTTAAGAAAGTTAGATGTATGGAACATTGTAGATGCCTTCGTACAATCAAAATAAAATAACAAATAAAATAACAGTTGGTTATCTTTTAACTTTTTATTTTATTTTATGTGAAAAAGGCTTTGGCGCATGCTTCACTGTTTTTTAATTATAACATGCAAATATTTTCATTTTTATTTTATTTTAAACATTTTTATAGTATAAACTTTGGCATAAATTTATAATATATTATGCATCAAATAAAATCAGCATACTATAGATAGTAAAATTACAATAAACAATCAATATACTCAACTTTTATCCAGCTTCATCGTACAGCGCACCAGCAAATACCGTATGATAGAAAAAACGGCGTCCAGTTGGTTGAGAAATGTTTATCGATGACATTTCCCATATAAATTTGCAATAAAATGACAGCGTTCTTCATTTCATAGCTATCGCTGACGCCGTTTTTTTTTCGATCACACGATATATATTTCTAATTCTATTTTATTTGGCTGCCTGAACCCACCATTATACTGGGTGGCGCATCGTCGTTGGAAACAGGAAATTGCATGCAAATTTTGAACTGTCCAGATATTGGCTCCCCTGTTAATTTTACAGCGAATTTGTAAATAGGTTTTTTAAAGGACTGCTTTTTTATATTGAATACATATGCCAAAGTTGAACAATTTTGGAAAAGCCGATTTTAAGTTATTTAACCAAAACTGCATCTATTTTTAAATTAAAAATGAACAAGGTAACAATGCAAAACCAGGCAAATACCAACGTATCTTAATTTGTCATCCTATAATTAAACGTAGGTACTATAATGTAGTAGCGTAGACAGCATAACAAATTGACTGATTTTTGAATTAAAACATTTGACTGATTTTGTATTGTTACCTGTTCAGATTTAATTTAAAAATAAATGCAATTTTTCTTAAATTACTTAAAATAGGCTTGCCCAAAATTGTTCAACTTGGCACGTGTATTCAGCACAGGGAGATCTTTAAAAAAACTATTTACCATTGAGCTGTAGAATTAAAAGGTGTGCCAATATTTGGACAGTTCAAAATTTGCATGCAATTGCCTATGTTTCCAACGACGTTTGTTTGCACCACCCGGTATACAATATTTAGTTTATACTGCTTATAACTCAATTAAATTTTATAGATAAAAATATATATTAGTAGATTTAATTTTGACTACTTTTCTCCAACTTTCATATTTACAGGGTACTTTTCTAGAGAGTTAAAAAATAAGATATCTCTTAAGCATGTTTTTTAAAATAATATTTGTGTATTAAAATATATCTTATATTTCTTTGTATATAAATATCCTTTTTTACTTAAGAATATATTTTAAAACAACACCAACTTGTAGGTATCTCTAACATGTTTGTTTGTATGTATATAGTTATATTTTAACTTGAAGTTCATTTTACGTTCAGATAGTTTTAACTGGTGTATTGTAAAGCAATAATTTATTTAGCATATCTTGAAGTTTATATTATGGACGAAGATAATCATATATTTAGTGTCGTTCAGTATAAATAATTATAGAGAGTAAACGACGGTGACGATTTTTATAATTTTAGGTAATATCTTACGTATTGATTTATTTTTTAAATCCTGTGATAAGTGTGATATTAAAAAATCAATTATAATTGTGTTTTATTTGATTTTATTTGAGGGAGTAGATTAAAATCTGAGATAAAAACACCAGAAAAATAAAACTTTTTAGCTACAGCGGTTTACAATAAAAATGGGTAAAATAATGTGAGATATATTTCAATAAAAATTATTTTGAAGCAGAGGCAGAGATAAAATAGACACAACAGAGATATTTTTCCTGTTTGAAGCTCTGCATAGACAATGAATGACAAGAGCTCTGTTTTTTCGTTTCTTATGATAAAAATCTAAAGCATAGATAAATGAAACAAGTTTAGATTGGAAAGTGCCCATAAGGACAATGTAAACACTATTTGGCGCTATTCTTGCAACGGTCGCGACCCAAAACTTTTGAAAATTTCGGAGCGATTCGGCTTTTTCCGGAATTATATCGCCAAATATTGTTTATTCAAATTTATTATTTTCGTTTAATTTTATAAATAAAATACAGTGTGTTGCATACAAGAAACTTTATTTTATATAAGGACGCATGTATGAAATACCTATGAAACATTGGAAACCGACGTTATACTACGATCCACGATGGTTTTTGCAGTTCACAGTTCACAGCACAGCTTTTTAAGTTTTTAATGCCACTTTTTCACAATTATCACCGGTTGGAGCAAATAAAACTTGAATTAAACTCACAAGATAGCAATAATTACTTTGAAAATGGATGCTATAAACACTTTTCGTAATTTCTTTAATGAAAGCGGTTTAGATTTTGAAAGATTATTATGATTTTTGAAGATTCTGACTTTGAAGAGAAAATTATTTCAGTTTTTGTTTATTGTTGTTCTTAGCGACCGCTATAGCAGCGCCAGATCGCGTATAACGGTCGCGACCCAAAATAATTTCGCGATCTAAAATTTTTACGGGCTTTCCAATCTAAACTTGTTGCATTTATCTATGATCTAAAGTTAAATAATGTGATTAATTATTGGATTAATTGATTATAGCGCCAAAATTAATGGGTGGAATTTAGTGGAACTAAAATTCATATAGTGACATCTTACGTAAATACTCTGTATTATAAAAAAAATAAATAGATATCTATAAAATTATAATTTTTATGACATCTAGTGTGGAATAGCAAAACATACTAAATATATAATAAAGATTTCTATAACATTCTACAGATACCTGTAATATTGTATATTGCTGACATCTGTTGACGAGTAGCTAAAGTGTTAAATAAAGGTAACTATAATTGTATAGATAATTTGCGTGACATCTGTTAACGAATAGCTAAACTTCAATGGAGTTTAGAATTAAAAAAATCCATATTATTAATTAGTTTAGAGAAATCTGTAATATTGTAGTTTTAAAAAAGAGCCATCTACAGTCGAAAATATTTAATAAGTTTTTGTTTACTTAACCTCAAAATAATGATATTTTTCGTTGTGATTTTTCGTTTATTTTGGACTTTATTCAAGAAAATCATGTGTTTGAAATGCAGTTTTCATATGGAAGAACTTATTATAGAAGTCTCATAATCCTGGTAGGACATGTATAGCAGAAGAAATGGATCCCAAGTAATTTATGTAATTACATGATATAAAGGGTAAAATTCTGATGTCATATCATGGGAGATATTCTCATAGAGCGGGTTTAAAAAAACACTCATTTAATAATCTGCTTTATTCACTAATAAACAAGCTCAGATAACCTTATTTTAATAAACATAACGGTAACTCAAAACGATGTATAATAAATACATCAGTAATCGATTTTATTTGCAAAAGAAACAGAACCAAATGGTCAATATACACCTACCTTTTCAAAACCCCACAATTTTTCTTTAATGACTTATATACATATAATATGTACCTAAATACATTGAATATGTTACATTATCATACATGGTAATTATATAAGTCAATTAAGAACAATAGGCAAGGAAGGCAATCACAATGAATACATTAGTCAATCACATACAGTTACAATAGTTTTTATGTATATATCTTTATGAGTTCTGTAACCTTTACAAATTTTATAAGTACAGCTAGATAACACATATCAGATTTACGACTCGACTGTAGTGTATTATTCAAAAAAGAACCAAATTTATGATGTTATATCACAGGAGACTTTGATTGGGTATGTCCGATATCAATTAACATTTCCTTCAGTTTAAATATAATTATTTGTATCTGTCTCTCTTGTCAATACACTAAAATCACTGTTAGTAAACATGATTTCCATTTTTCCAAAAATATACAAAGAATCCATGTTGCTGATCTCTGAATGGAAATAAATAATATAAAAATGGATCCTATATAATTTACAAAAAAGGAATAGTAGTAGTTCTATGTAAAATCCATAAAGGAACAATTTTTTTGTACACATACTTGGTTGCACTGGTAACTTTTACGTACAAAAATTGGCATTCATACGATAATACAACAATTATATGGACATTTGAACAACGCTGAAAATAAATAAATAATATAATATATACAACATTTTACAAAAATTGTACAAAATTGTAGAATTCTTTGCACGAATGCAGGCAGTGATATTGTTTCTTTTAACTAAGATATTGGAGGCAATATAAAAGTACAAAAAGGTCATATATAATAAAGAACAACAAAAACAGTATTTTTGCACACATATAGTTAATTTTATGATTAGTAGTAATACATGCTAAGTCGTTAAGGATTTCTTTTTCTTGTCCATATAATTTAGGTTATTACTCATTTACCCTTACATTTATCTTATATATTTTTATGTAAATATATTATATATACTTATAAGATATTTTTATAATGCAAGAATAATGGCATTGTAGCTTTATTTTTGTCATTTATTTAAGATGTATGTAAGGTGATGATGCGAAAATGATTAAAAAAAGAGATCTGAATTGGCAGTGAAAAAGGTATATTGTTGACTTTGGTTATGGCAGTGGTTTGTTATATTATACAGTCTATATAGGATGGTTTTAAGATAATGCATGGTCTTGGTATATTTGATTAATCCCTTAAAAAATTATGTTTTTTGGGGTTTGTAGTTTATGCTCTCAATTCGAATATGAATATGCATACTAAATTTTGACATATTCTGGTCTGTTGAATATTTTTGATATTTATATTACCGTACAACTAAGTACTAAGAATTTTTTTAAATGTCGTGCTTAATGTTTGGTTACAATAATTACGCTAAATACATTTAACTTTGAGCTTATGTTTCAATCAGATTTTAAATCAGACTTATTAAGATATGACAAGATGACAAGTACTGAATAATATATCAATTAATTGGGATTTTTTATTATCCAATATTCATGCACTTCATAAAATGTCTACTTTCGATGCTCCTTAAGTAATAAATATTTTTAATCGAAGATATGAGTAAATATTAACTGAGGAAAAGCTACAATGCCACATCTTACATAAACAAGGCAACTTACTCAGACTTATGTAGCGGAATTCCGCAAGATAACTTTCGTCTAATAAAGGATGATCGTCCTTATCTTTTTACCCAGCTTACACTACACTTATAATATCTTTTACTAAGCGCAGTACCTACAATATCTGCCAAAAATCGAGAGGGTAGGTAGTAGAATAGCGTGGCGTCCTGCTAACACTTGACAGGTATTGTATTTACTAACAAGGAATGATTCCATATGCAATCTATATTTGTATATACTTAGATTTCGTGAAGGCCCATGTTGCAGTCTATTCCAATCTACTACCCGTTTAAAAATAAAGGTTAATCAGGACCTTGCCAGTTCAGCTACTAACGCATCGTGGCAAAGCAATTTGTACTTCATACATTCAGATGTCTGTTGTAAGATTTGTTTCTTAGTTTTTAGACATTTTTATTTATAAAGTGATTTTCAAAACGACTACGTTTCGGAAAGAGAGAAAGAGGACGTCTAAAAATAATTAGAAAATAATTTTTTGTTTTGTCTAGATCCCATTTTTTCAGAATTTTGATGCGGAAATAGGTCGGTTAGTGTGACGTCATCGAATGGAGTGCATTTAGAAAACAACATTGAAATCAACACTTAATTTGAAGGTTATATTCTGCTGTCTAAAATACGCTGCAACGTATATGTTTGGAATTTTTAATAGTTATTCCTTATATTCAATAACAAAACTTATGCCGATTCTTGAAATAATTATAATAAAAACTTTTTTTTAATTAATATATATTTTTGAAGTGAAATTTCTATACGTGCCATAGGAGTAAAAATTTAAGGCCGTGACACACCATGGCCTTGACCTGGTATGACCTTGACCATGCCTTGAGGCATGAGCTAGCAAAAAAAGCAGTAAGGATAACGCAAACACCAAAAAACATCTGATTTAAAGCTAAGAAAAGCATTATAATAAATTCTGGTTGTGTGCTAGGAAGTAAATTTTCATGTATATTTTCATCGATAGGTTTATAGCTTCTGAAAAACAGTCTAGGTAAAGCATTTAACTCATTTGCTAGCTCAGAATTGGAATTATTAGAGTTAAGCAAGTCGTCAGTGAAACGTGATAACCTGCTAACTCCATTTTTGACTTTAAGTTAATAATACGTTTAATACATCATTTTTACGAATTTTTAACGAAATATTAAGTTTTATTGTTCCCCAACAAATATTATTGTTATCTCTGTATCATATTAACGCACGAACATACTTGCTACATGTGTACATATTTTTTTGTACCGTTTCTTTTCTCTCCTCTAAAATTAGGAATAATGGAGTTAGCAGTTTATCACATTTCACCGACGAACTGGCATTTTCATCGGAGGATATCGTCATATTTATTTCAAACCAATAATCAACGAGAATATTCGTATAATTTAACAAACGGTGTTACTTTAAACCACTATAAATATCTTTGAATATAACATTTATATTAAAACAGCATTATATGTCACTTTTTCAAACATGTACTTTAAATCCTCCAATTTAATAGCTGTTAGTAAGAAGTCTCACTTCCAATATGCTCACATAGTGTATACACTGTTTTTTTTTGACGATATTCAAGTTCGTTTTTTTTATTTAGGTATATACTGTATGCTATTATTTTTTTAAAATGCGTTTCTAACTAAATTCTCAGAAACAAAATGATAAATTGGTTCCATTTATTTTTTGATATCATGTCAACTATGCTTAGGGATGAAATTAATCAAGCAATTAAGAAAAGCAGAATCATGTAATACAGTCAATGTAATACCTTGTGACGTCACCACTAACCAGAGCTTTTGTATCAATTATAAATCATATTTATATAAATATATTATTATTTATTTATATTGCAGGGTAAAAAAAAATCAAATATATTAGAGTACATTTAATGGAAAAAATGAGATCTAAAGAGTATATCTATTAAAGCGATCAAAAGGTAAACTGGGTAATATAGTGCATAAAGAATGCAAGTCTTATTTTCATGGAGTATATAGCTATGTAGGTAGTTCCAAAACTTGTAGACTACATCTACTATAATATACAATTGGTAGCATTCAAATTCGTATGAAAATTTTAATAACGAAGTAAAATAGATATTTTGTGTTGATAACTTGAAAATGACTGTAAATTAGAAGTGAAAAAATGAAAAGCAAAACTACTAAAAGATTAGAGAGATGTATATTGAAAGAATTTAAATCGTATAGATGAGGTAAGTTGACACTTAGATGGATGATGATAATCAAATGAAAAAATTACGTGACATTTTAGTTTAAGTTTACCATATAAAAATCCCTACAGTGACAGTTGATCTTAAGCTATTTGAAGTCTTTCTTAAACGTTAGAACAACATTGTAATATTATAATATATATAATAAATATTATAAAAGTTAGTTTAGGCCAAAAACTACGAAAAAATTATGTCCATTATATTGTAGGTTTTACCTATAACAAGCGTTTGATAAATAAATATTTGCCAAATATATAATAAATATAGTTGAGTCTGAAACCTTTGGCGTTATATACAACACAACAAAATACTTATATTCTTATTTAGTTTAATATTATATACTTAATTTCTTATATCAATCAAATTGTCACTGTTATTAAGAACTTTAATGATATAGTAAGCTCAAACATGAAGCAGGATATGAAAAGGAAAAAAAGTGGAAGAATGTTATAGAGGGGTAGATATATTATATATAGACAGGAATTAATAGTGATTTTATGCATAAACAGTAGCTAAAAACAAATGTAAATCATACATTACAGAGTTATGAAAAAAAGTTAAATAATACCAGGTGTAAGTAATAGGGTATGATAGGTAAAACATTAAACATTATAATGTAATTTTCAATAAAATTGTTTATTTATCACCGCACACTTCACCATAAAACCTTTTGATCATATTGTTTAATATAAATGAGAAATATGAAAATGTGAACAGAAAATAGTAATAGTAGATCAAGAAATAATAGATGAACAAGAATGATTTACGTATAGAGGAAAAAATCATGTATAAATATGTCGAAGAAAAAATGAGAATCACAGTTTGCAGAGTTATGAAAAATGGATGATAAGATGAAAGAAATTAGAAATCAGTATAAGAATAACTTAAGAATGTGTGATTACTGAAATCCATTTTTGACTAGAGATTTTACGAATTTAAATGCTCGACCAATTTCACAAATTATCTGTCAACATCAGTCCAGTAGTACAATTTAAAACAATTTCTTGCTTCGAACGAAACATCGACATATAACAAAGAATAGGTGTGTGTACTTTCATAATATAAATCCGCCGCTTTTTCTAAAATATGTTTACGATTTTATTTATATACAAATCAACTTACACGCAATATATATATACTTTATTTAATTTTATTAATACGCCTAAAGTCGAGGAAAGCCTTCCTACTACCTCTGAATCGCCGAATTTAGTAAAAAAGGAACGTAAAACATCTTACTTTCTAATAGAAGAGATGCCGCAGACTGTATCTGAAAAATATAAAATACAAATAATTAGAAAAAATATAGAATAAAAGGCATAGAGTATGCAAATCTCAGAGAAATAAGTATGTATTTATTTTAACTTTTTCAGAAATTATTACCTATTTTGCATAAAAATCTCTGCGTAAACTTCAAATAAAGTTTTGCGGCTGTAGCCTGACAGGTTACAGTGGTGCCTGGGAGTGTGTTTTTGTTTTTGTATGGTTTTTGTCACATAACCCTAACCACAAATTTTCTTTGGCAGTTTTGAAAACAGGCACAACTATGACCTATCAGGCTGCAGCCGCTAGTCAAATAAAGTAGGATACGTATATTGAAGTATTTCATTTCATGTTCCTATACATGAAAAGAAATCTTCAAAAATGATACTAACCGGAGAATAACGGCTTTATTTTTTCAAAATACATAAAAGTAACTTAAAATTATTATCTACAGTGAAGTGACACTAGTTGTCATGGCAAGTTATAACTTGTTAGTTACTCATATGCCTAAATCAATTAGCATTGTGGAAAAATATTAACATACAAATATTATAATATACAGGGTGTCCCAGAAATAAGTACATATGTTTTAAGGCGTGGTAGATCTGGTCAAAAGAAATATCTTACCATACCAAATTATACCATTTTTAAAATAAGTTAAATAGTGATGGGTTGTTATTTAACTATCTGTTATTTTATAACAATTATTTATAAATAACATAACGCACCCGTTACTACTTCTAAAAAATAACAGATATAAAACAACGACACGTAGAGATCGGCCGCTCGTGAAACGAAAAACGAAGTCGGCGCTCTGCACCGTCACGAAATTTTATGCTGCTCGAAGCAATTTCAAAAAACAACTAGTATGGATGGAAAACATGTTATTTCGTCAACCATCGATACAGGCGGCGAGACAACGGACAACGGAGTGGGGAATGCGCTACGGCGAACGTAGCTGCTTCGGTCGATACCGTCTATGGTCGTATTGAGTTTGCAACAGCTTAAAAATAATAGGATATAAAAGAAGCAGGTTTTTTGAAACAGTTGCGGGCATAACGCCTGGCGGTCGAGATAACAGGAGTGGGAAAGGAACGCTGCTGCATCGGTCGATTGTCGATGGAGGCTCGCAACGGGTTGGAGAAGCAGTCATTTTAGATACGTTGTTTTTCAACCTGTTACAAGCATAACAGGGCGGTGGTCGAGATAATTGGAGTGGGAAAGGAACGCTGCTGCATCGGTCGATTGTCGATGGAGGTTCGAAACAGTTTGGAGAATAACGCATCAGTTGTTTTAGATAGTACATTGTTTTTCAACCTGTTACGAGCATAACGGGCGGAGGTCGAGATATTATGGCGCTGTATGTTTCAGTACTTACTTATTAAGTTTCAATATTTAGGTATTTATTTATTCTGAAAAATTTTCAGAATAATATTTTAAGATTTTAGAAAAATCTGGTCATTGATTAATCACGATCCTGCTTAAAGCCCTTGACGTAAAAAGCTGATTTTTGGAAAACGGATTGACTTTAGGGTGTAGAGGTTCGATAAGAAGGGATTTTTCGAAACTCGAATTCTAAGGGGGTGAAACTACCCTCAAGTATTAGAATATTTTTTATTTAAAAACCGGTGAGTTTTTCGGAAAAACTCTTAAAACACGTATATTTTATTATGTTGTTTTACATATTTTCAGATTTTTAAAAAATATATACAGGGTGTTTCATAAAATATGACCATTGAGTAATCACTATTCTGCTTAAACTGCTTGACGTTTAAAGCTGATTTTTGGCAAACGGATTGACTGTGGGGTTGAGGTTCGATAAGGAGGGGTTTCTCGAATCTCAAATTCCAACAGGGTGAAAACGCCCCTCAAATATTACAACGTTTGTTATTTAAAAAACGGTTAGTCTTTCGGGAAAACGTCCGAACACGCAAAATTTATTTTGTTTTTTTACATATTTTGAAATTTTTTCAAAAATCATACAGGGTGTTCCAAAAAGTTGAGTAATTGATTAACCACGATTCTGCTTAAACTGCTCGACGTTTAAAGCTTATTTTTGGCACATGTGAGAAAATGTTATCCAGTCTGTATGTTAATGGAAATTCTTGTGTTGCTTTATCATCACCATTAGAAATTATTAATTCGACGCGAACGAAGTCGCGGGTACACGCTAGTTTAAGTGTAAAATAAATTCGAACTCTAGTGTGTAGTTGGTTTACTTATGAAGAATATACTGCACATTTTCTTATATTGCTATTTTTTGACCGCAAATGGTAAAATCATAACTAAGAGCTTCTCGCCCGTCGAGTGAGATGCACCCTGTACACTGCTACTCAATTCAGGATCTACGCGGATCGAGGGGCAGGGCGTAGGTAGATCGGAATATATAGGTATAGACGAGTGGCGGAATTTTGGCTTTTTATATCGCAAATTTGTAAACAGCGCTTATTTGTAAACAACCACCGTTTTTAGAGAGGTATTTTAGATAACAATCGATATTTAGAAATGTTTTGACACCCTGGAAATACTACCACCGAGCACGTCATTGCATCGTCATTGTTGCAACTTGCAACTGCGTTAATACGCCTGGCGGTAACCGCCTCATACTCTTTCAGATATTTAGCAGTAAAATAAAGAAACCTGTTATTTTTAAGCTGTTATTTTAAGCTGTTTTTTATAAATAACTATAACAGTTTCAACTGTTATCTAAAAATAACAGTTTTGCCCATCACTAAAGTTAAATATAACCGAATAATTTAACTTTGAAAATTAAAAAAAATAATGACACTAATATGAATGTTGAGAACGGCTGGCGATAACCGGCTATTACGTTTTTTTTCACGAGGTTTTTGAGCTTATTTGACGCCTCAGGTGAATAAACAAGTGGCACTATTTTTTTTTTAATTTCCAGGTGATTGGCAAAAATATAAAAATTTTAACAATTTTTTTTTCGCAAAAGAATTAGGCGTTTTTCTGCGGCCGAAATATACTACCATTTAAAATATTTGCACTTATTTCTAGGACACCCTGTATAACAGTTCGATTTAGATATATTATTCTGATTATCGTAAAAGCGTTGTTACTTTAAGGTTTACCACAGTGATGTAAATAGTTTAATGGAAAATCAAATATATTAAAATGAGATAAAAGTTGAGTTGATTTCTTCTATGCGGTATTGCCGGATTTTGCATCAAAATTAGCGATGGGAACTATCGAATGAATTAGACTATCGAATGGTTAATGAATGAATGATTTCAACTATCGAATGGTTTTATTCGAATAAAATCATTCATTCATTTGTAAACTAAAGCATATGTGACAACCTCGCCGTGCGACTAAATGGTTATCGTTGAGCCACGACTATCGAATGCTTTTGATAAATGAAATTTAGTATTCGTTTGATTTTTGTATGCGTCAGTGCATTATTAGTTCTTCCAAATTTTTATAACTTCACCGTATAAATACTGTGCTATTTTTGCGTTTACTAAAATAGTTAAAATACTAAAATAGTAGTTATTTTTTAATTTTATTTATTGACGATTGTGTGCATGTGCAGGTGGTCAAAATTTTTCCGAAAAGTTGTGTGGTTTTCCGTAGTCCGATCTTTCAATTATTTAATTTTATATGGTATATGGTCTATTTTTTAATGGGAAATTTTGAGAAGTAGCAATTTTTAAGAGAGATGAGATGAACTTAAATTAATTTTAAAAGTACATATTTGTATTTTAGATGTTTTAATAATATGAATTAGTTGAACTTAATAATCATATTAAAGTAATGTGGTTAAGTAAATGGTTATCGAACTCAAACTATGGGGTGAGAAAATTAAAATGAAAGTTTTACACGTGCCAATTTAAAAAAAAAGTTAACGATGTTTGTATTTTGTTTATGCTAATTCTCTTACATGTAGTTTTTGCGAAGAAATATTTCATTTATTTTTTAAAGTAAATGCCAGTAAAAGTAAATATAATTTTTAAATAGTAATATAAAGCACCTAATATAAATAATTTTGATTTCTAATTTTTTATTTATATTTTCCTTCCATTACACCGCTTGCTTAGAAAATTAGTAAATGTTTATATTTCATGATTTTAAAATTTGTTGTTAATATAACAAATTAGTTCTGTAATTATTATTATTTAATAAACCAACGTTGCCAAAAAAAATTAGAGACTATATTATTTTTAAATAGGATCTAATATAAATAATTTTGACATCTAATTTGTTGTTTATATTTTGCTACTACTTAAAAAAAATATTTATATTAAATGATTTTAAATTTTGTTGTTAATAGGTATAACAAATTATTACTGTTATTATTATTTATTAAACCAGTCTTTGCTTAAAAACATTCAAAATAATTTTCCTACATCCAAAATAACAAGTATTATTGCAGTGTAACAACAGAATATTAATAAAAAAATTCAGAATATATAGACATACTATCCCTAACTAACTAAAGCCAAACAATAATATTCTTTGCTAATATCAACTAATACAAAAATATGGCAACAGCGCCCTTCATAATGTATTTTCTGTGTAAATACTAGCACCTCAATAAAAAAAAATGTGTCCTTATCTGTATATGACTCCGCAAAAAATCAAAGATGCCGGCTTCTTTCATAGCATTGCCACCGACCGCTTTCTCGGAAAAAAACCTACGTCGCCGGGCGACAACTAAAATTCAGTTAATATTTTATTATAATCGATCCTGACGAATAAATGAATTTCATAAATGAATGAATTTTATAAATGAATGAATTTTACAAATGAATGAATTTTATAAATGAATGAATTTTATAAATGAATGAATTTTATAAATGAATGAATTTTATAAATGAATGAATTTTATAAATGAATGGTTTTTGCTGCCGAATTACTAGAATACAATATTTCAAGGCAGATGACGGATCTATTCGATAATTTTTATTCGAATAGTTTTCAACGAATGTTTTCTTACTAACTATCGAATTATTCGAATGAATTGCAACTATCGAATGTTTCGAT